TGGTACCTGCTCCAGGGAGCAGCACTGGGTCTATAGCCAAACTGCAAAAAATGGCAGAGGTGCGACCCCTCCCTACCACCTGCCAGTGAGCTCTCCAGTTCCCCAGAAATGTGCTTTTCAAACAAAGGATTTAGGTTGGACTGCCTGATTCCAATTGTCTCTCAGACCCCTGGGTCCCAAGAGAATGGTAGTGATTAGCCGATAGGATGAGCTGCTAAAATGTCTTTACAAGGTGGGGAAGTGGTGAAGAGGTAGGGTGCTTCCTGGTCCACCTCCCTTGGCCCAGACATCCCAACAAGTTCTGATTGCTTTTTTTAAACTTTTTTTGGGGGGCATCTGCGTGGCTTAGTCAGTTAAGTGCCCAACTCTTGGTTTCAGCTCAGGTCATGATCTCATGGGGTCGTGATCCCATGGGGTACTGGGATTGAGCCCCGGGTAGGGCTTGGCACTCAGGAGAGGGTCTGCTTGGAGATTCTCTCTCTCTTTGCCCCTCTCCTCACTCTCTCTCCCTCTCAAATAAATACATAAATCTTAAAAACAAAACATGTTTTTATATTGTGGTACAATGCATAGTGTAAATTTATCATCTTAACTATTCTCTTTTTTTAGTATTTTATTTATTTGAGAGAGAGAGCATGAGAGAGCGAGCACAAGCAGTGGGGAGGGGTAGAAGGAGAGGGAGAAGCAGGCTCCCGGCTGAGCAGAGAGCCGAAGCGGGACTCGATCCCAGGGCCCTGGGATCAGGACCCAAGCCAAAGGTAGACGCTTAACCAGCTGAGCCACCCAGTCACCCTCATCTTAACTATTCTTAAGTGTGTAGCTCAGTGGCATTAACTATATTCATATTGTCATATAACCATATCCAGAACTTCTCATCCTTCCAAACTGAAACTCTGTACCCATTAAAATAACTCCCCACTCCCCTACCCCCCAGTCCCTGACAACCAACATTCTACTTTTTATCTCTATGAATTTGACTACTTCAGGTACCTCATATCAGAGAGATCATGCAATATTTGTCCTTTTGTGACAGGCTGATTTCACCTAGCACAATGTCCTCAAGGCTGACCCACATTGTCACATGTAGTCCTGATTACTTTCATCCTGTCGTTTTCCACCACAGTCTGTGTGACTATCAGTGGCATGCATTCTACTTCCTGCCGTCGTATCAAATGTGAATTTTGTTTCTATGTTGGTAACATATTTTACATGACTTCTTAATTCTGCCAGTTCATTTTTCTTCTCCAGCTTTGATCACTTATATCTCTTCTTTTTCTTTCAAGATTTTATTTATTTATTTATTTAAGAGCGAGACAGTGCGGGGGTTGGTGAGGAGCAGAGGGAGAGAGACAAGCGGACTCCGTGCTGAGTACAGCGCCTGATGCTGGGCCTCCATCTCATGACACTGAGATCATGACCTGAGCCGAAATTAAGAGGCAGCCGCTTAGCTGACTGAGCCACTGAGGGCCCCCTTTACTTATATCTCTTCTATAATCAAAGTGACTATGTTTTCTTTATTTCTTTATAAAGGTCAGATTGAAATATTGTTTCTTAGAGCAATTCTTCTTCCAAAGCGTCTTCTTCACCTGTCCTTTGCTTGTCATGCTTTCTTTTTCCTTTTTTTTTTTATTATCTCGGCTTGTATCTCCTGTTAGATCCTTTCTGCTTATCATTCCTCTTTGAATAGGGGTAGTTCCATCTGAGGCTGAGGGTGAATTCTTTACTCAACCCTCTGTTTACCTTGGCTTTTCTTCCACTGTCACCTAAATGTAAACTGGCTAGCTGGATGTTATCATTGGTTTGCAATCTCTGTTTGGTCCTTTGGCTTCTTTGGTGAATTAGAGGGGTATGACCTGGATTAGTAGGTAACTGACTATCTCAATTTGGTTATGTTGCCTCAGAATATTTTTTCACACCGAATCTGAGGAATTCTCTTTCTTGGGGGCACATGGGGATCCATGGGAGGAAGTCTTGCAAAGATTTGAGCTATTTCCTTTCCTTTGCACAAACAGGTCATTCTGGTTGCAAGCTGGGCCCTTATATTGCTTCACAAGGTTTTGGTTTTGATGGGTCATATTTTATCTCTGCTCAAATAACATCAATCCGCAGTTGCACAGCTGACTTTTACATTGTTTCTTTCCTTTGTGAAGGGTTGATGTTTGGCCTTACTAAAATCGGTTTCACCTGAGATTCAGAGAGACGCATATTGGCTCTGGGCATCATTCTTCAGGTGGCCTCAATTTTATTGCACCTGACAATGTAGTATATTGATTTTTAGGATGGACTCTGGGGTCAGAGTGCCTGAGTTCAAATATTGGTTCTGTCACCTATTACCTGATGACTGTGAACAATTTATTTAACATATCTGGGCTACAATTTCCTATCTTTGAAATGGCACTAATAGTAGTAGCTATTTCATAAGGTTGATAAGAGGTTTAAATGAGTTAATACAAATAAAAGGACTTAGAGCAAAACCTGGCATGAAGTATGTGCCCAATTAGCCGCTGTCACTATATTTCCTGTAGTCTAAGTTGGGGGGGCATACATGTTCATCTCCTCCATTATATTTACAAGAAATCCTTGAGGGTTAAAATCAGTAATGCCTGGGAAGCCCATAGCATGGTGCTTGACACATAATAGACCCTCAAAACATGTGCTGAATGTTAAATAATGAGTATAGAGGAAGAGGGGGCAGTGCAGAGGAAGGTGGGGGAGAGAGGCCACTCAGGAGTTTGTGCTCTGGGCTAAGATTTTAGAATATTGCCCCCTTTCTACCCATTCAAACCTTCACTGAGCACCTTTATATGCTAGCCAGCAGCAAATCAAAGAGAAGTCAGATCCCTCCAGGAACTTGCGGCTTACAGTTCTCCCAACAGCTCCTTACTCACTTGGATTCTAAATAATGAAAGGTAATTGTATTAAGTAAGCAAAAGCCCAGTGATCTTACACTTTAACCCATTCCCTAAAGTAAACTCAGGAGTATTTATACAATTCCAGCTACCAAGAAGGACAAAGGCACACAGCCTTGGATAATCTCAAACTAATCCGTTTGGCTTTATGATGGCCTGAAGTGTTAACTTCTTATGATTCACAAGAAATGCCCCCAAAATGTGACATTTGTGACCTACCAGTCACTCTCACCAAGGTAGGCTTGCCCACTTCACAGGGGTCACTTTTCCTGCCTTGCCTACACCTCTTGCTTTTAAAGGTTCAAATAAGACTGTGGACTTGGACGCTTGTATGTATTCTGGGTGTTGTTGCACACATAAAGGGCCCTCTGGCTGATGTCCAGCATAAGGATTTGGAGAATTCCATCGAAATCAACTGCAGGAAATACATCTAACTTCGCAAAGTCACAGGTGACTATTCTCCCGGTTACCCTCTATGAGTCCATGGTCTTCCAGCCAGTTAAGACTAAGTTCTGCCATAAGTGACAGAAAACCCCAAATAGCAATGGCTTAAGAAGGTGTGTTTTTCTCTCAAGTGGAAGTATAGATAGGCAGTCCAGGACTGCCTCATCAGAGCCTCACTCCTTTTATCTTGCTGCCATTCTCATCATGTGACTACCTCATGGCTCAACATGGCTGCTTCAACTTGAGCCACTCCATCTTCATTCCAGCCAGCAGGAAGGAGAAAAGAGGAGGGCATGCCCCTCCATTAAAGATACTTCTTAGAAATGGCACAAAACATTGCTATCTACATCCCAGTGGCCAGAATGCAGTCGCCTGGTCACACCCAGCTGGAAGGGAGGCTTGAACACACAATCTTTATTCCATGTGTCTTGCTAAAAATTCAGAGGTTCTATTATTGAAGAAGACAAGGTGAATATCGAAGAACAACAAGCAGTCTCTGCCAGTCTCTTATCTCTCTTGCCATCCACAAGTTGACCCCTCTGTCTTCTCTGAAGACCAGCCTTCCTGTTCACACTTTCTGACCCCTCCTGCTTTCCACCTCCACTTCACAAGACTAAGAGTGGCCACAATGTCAGTTCTTGGCCCAACTCCACAGGTCTTTTCAGTTTCCCAAAGCCGCACACTGTCTACCCACCTCCACCTCTGTGTTTCAAGTCCAAATTCCTGGAGAGAACATTTGATTGGTTCTGCTTGGGTCAGGTGATCACCTTCTCAATGCTGAGCCAATCATCTGTGGCCTGGGCCATGGCAGGGCTCTCCCTATTAGGATGGGATGGAGCAAGTTCTCTAAGCGGTGGAAGTGATGAACATCTCTTGTAAATCCTCCTTCTGAGCTTACTCTTATCGTAACACCCAGCCTGCTGGATGTAGTTGTCGCTTTGCTCGGTTTGCTCGTCCATAGGGCAGGGATGCATTTATTCATATCTTATCCCCAGAGCCTTGCAATTACCTGGCACACTCAATATTTATTGTAGAAGGAATAATCCAATCTCATCCTTAATTTTACAGAGCTTGAATGCTTGCTCGAATTTACATGGTAAAACAGCGTTAGGGGCAGCACAAGAACACAGGTCTCCTGACTCCCAGTCTCTAGGACGGTTTCCTAGAATGACCCAGCATGGTGTGGCTTTTGTGCTCCATTGTTCAGCACTTGTCTCAGTTTCCCTGTCAAGGACTCCAGGGAATCTCCCCCCACCCCCAGATGTGGCCCATGAGAGCCCAGGAGGACACTGGCTACACCACACAGAGTCCATTTCCAACCTTAGCCTTCCTGTCAACACCAGTGTCTCCCCACACCTGCAAGCTGGGCCCCTTTGGGGAAATCCCATCCTGACTGGGCCTTGACCAAAGTTAGGCTCTAGATGCAGGGATGCTTAAAGAGTAATGAGGCAAAAGCGGGAAAGAAGATCTCCATGGCCACGCACCTGAGCTGCTCTCAGAGGAGGAGGGCCCCGCCATCGGAAAGAGCTGATGCCTCTCCTTCCGCTATTCTCCTACACATCGGCCCTCATGACCGTTCCTCCCTGCTTCCTCCCTGGTCCCTCAGGCCTCACTGTGCCTATTCCCTCATGTTACTTGTCCCTACAGGCCTCGAACCCTCTGTGGCAATCCCGGGGCTCCACCACCGTGTCTTCGGGGGGCCGTTTCCGCTGCCCATCTTGCAGGCATGAGGTTGTCCTGGACAGACATGGTGTCTATGGCCTGCAGCGAAACCTGCTAGTGGAGAACATCATCGACATTTACAAGCAGGAGTCTTCCCGGTGAGCCGTCAGGACCTCTTGTCCCTCTAAGGAGCAGGGCCTGGCACACAGCGGGGGAACCCATCAGCCAAAAGGGAAGGGCTGAGAGGATCGGTTTAGAGATCAGAGGCCTGGACCCTGGGACGCCCCACACTCACGGGATGCACCTCCCTGCAGCCTGGCCCCTGACCCTCCTGCCACCCCACCCGCTCCCCTCCAGGCCACTGCACTCCAAGGCTGAGCAGCACCTCATGTGCGAGGAGCACGAAGAAGAGAAGATCAACATCTACTGCCTGAGCTGTGAAGTGCCCACCTGCTCTCTCTGTAAGGTCTTTGGCGCCCACAAGGACTGTGAGGTGGCCCCGTTGCCCACCATTTACAAACGCCAGAAGGTACCAAGCAGCAGAGGGAACAGGCATGGTGAGGTGGGAACAGGGGACAGGGTCTCCAACTGCAGCCTCTCACTCCACTTGGGTTTTAGAGGCTGGCAGATCAGGGCTACCGTCCCAGTTCTGGGCATGACTCAGTGTGTCCGTGACTAAGTCACTTGACCTCTCTGGCCCTGACTTTCCTCGCTTGTAAAATGGGGATGAAAATGCCAACTTCCAAAGTTGTTTTAAGATACAATTAGATAATGGATACCAGCAACTTCAGTTTGGTGGCCGAGGTGCTCTCCAGGCCCTCTCACTACCACACAACTACATTTGACCTAAAACATAATTTAAAACTTATATCGGTGGGGTGCCTGGGTGGCTCAGTCAGTTGAGTGTCTGACTCATTATTTTGTCTCAGGTCACGATCTCAGGGCTGTGAGATCGAGCTGCATATCGGGGTCTGCACTCAGCGCTGAGTCTGCTTGAGATCCTCTCCCTCTGCCCCTCCCTCTGCCCACGATCTTGCTCTCCGTCTCTCTCATAAATTAAATAAATCCTTTTAAAAAATAAAATAGAAACTATATCAGAGGGCAAATGCTGGCAGTATTCCTGAGCTAGAGAGATGAGACTATGTCTTCAGACCCCTGAAATGTGGACACCCGACCTGAAGCCCCCCACGAATCCCAGGTTAAAGTGGAATCTCAGGAACCACGGTGGTCAGAAGTGCCGCCTGGCTTTTGACAAAAGTGAACGCAGAATCTGCCTAGAGGGAAACCCCCTCAATTTAGGCCCTTGGGTTCTCCTTAGATTAAGAAAAACAAAATATTAATTCAAAAGTGAAGATACAGAGAGAAGTGTACCCCATGAGTGAAGTCAGTGGAAACAAAAATCACAGATTAAACCCCTGAGGAATTCATATAATGGAATTATTAAAGACTTGAGAGTCGCTGTGTATAAAATGCTTTCTTAAAAAGATGGAATAAAACCCCAGCAATACTAGATTACCAAACATGCAGATTTAACAAAAAGCCAAATAGAGCTTTTAAAAATTAAAATGTGGTTGTTGAAATAAAACATTGAAAAGGTGAATTAAATGGCAGATTCCTCTGAAGAGAGAATTAGCGAACAGGAAGGTGGGCCTGAAAAAGCAGCCTAGGATGCAGCACAGGGGGATGAGAAGGGTGAGCGCATATGTCTTCTCCTCAGAGTCACAGAATGAGAAAACAAAGAGAATGGAGAAGAGGCAATAGTATCCTAACAGATAATTACAAAGCTTTCCGAATTGAGAGAAGGCATGAATCTACAGTTGAAGCATTCAGCCCAGAGCCTGGCATTTGGTGGATATTTGGCAAATGTCTTTCTCCTCCGGTGGTGGAGGCCCTCCTCTTTCCACCTCCTTCCAGAATCCATAAATATGCTTCCACACTTCTTGGATGGTTCCAAGCCATCTAGATCTCTGGAATGGCTGCCCTGATGGTGGGGCGGAGAGGCAGTCTTCTCCTAGGCGGCCCTGGCTGGGATGGGGGGCGGAGGACAGCTCTAGACAGGGTCCTCCAGCTCTAAGGGCTGGCCTGTTGTGTGGCAGAGCGAGCTCAGCGATGGCATCGCGATGCTGGTGGCGGGCAATGACCGTGTGCAAGCAGTGATCACACAGATGGAGGAAGTGTGCCAGACCATCGAGGTGAGCCTGGGATAGGAGGGAGGGGAAATTTCTGGGTTCCTGGGGGGTGAATCACAAGTAGTGGGATATAGGTTTGAGTCCCAGCTGTGCCCCCCCGGCTCTGTGACTTTGGTCCAGTTACTTCACTTCTCTGTGCTTTGCTGATTATGAGAATGATATGATGACTACCTCGCTGGACATTTTTGAGAATTAAATGAGATTATACAAGTAAAAACTAGGGCCAGAGATACCCCTGAAGTACTTTAAAATATTGTATTTGCTAAAGAGAGAAAATCTTAAAAGTTTTCGTGAGAAAAATATTATAACTGTATTTAGTGACAGTGGTAACTAGACTTGTGATCATTTCACAATATCTACAAATACGGGATCACTACATTGTACACCGGAAACCAATATAATGTTAAAAGTCAATTATATCTCAATTTTTAAAAAATCTAGAAATTGTTGTTACTGAAAAGACCTGGGAATGAGCAGCCCTTGGCTGCAGCTGTGGCTCGGCCACTGTGTGTGGGGAACTTTCCTTGGTTGTCTGTGGCTCCCAGTAAGTGGGGAGTGGGACAGGTAGGTGAGTGCTCTCCCAGCTAGAGGTCTCATCCTGGCTCCCCTCGTTCAGGACAACAGCAGGTCTCATCCTTGCTCCCCTCGTTCAGGACAACAGCCGGAGGCAGAAGCAGTTGCTTAACCAGAGGTTCGAGGCCCTGTGCTCGGTGCTGGAGGAGCGCAAGGCTGAGCTGCTGCAGACGCTGGCCCGCGAGCAGGAGGAGAAGCTGCAGCGCGTCCGGGGCCTCATCCGCCAGTATGGAGACCACCTGGAAGCCTCCTCCAAGCTCGTGGAGTCCGCCATCCAGTCCATGGAGGAGCCACAGATGGCGCTGTACCTGCAGGTGGGCCCTGGCGGAGGGAGGCGGGCCGCAGAGTGGCTGCGGTGGGGGCCCCGGCACCCCGAGGGCTGGGCTCCGGTCTCCTCTCTGGCTCCCGCTTGCCCCACGGCCTTGGGCAGGTCACCCCGCCTGAGTCCGTTTTCTCGTCAACGAACCGGGATATGCATCCCCGCCTACCCCGCAGGACTGTGGGCACCAGAAACGGGACTTTGCCAGCGCTTGGCACGGTGCTTACGCTCACCCTCCTTTCTTCCCTGCAGCAGGCCAAGGAGCTGATCAATAAGTGAGTAGGCGGAGCGGGAAGGGCAGGGGCTGTGTGGGCTCCGCCGCCACGCGCAGGGGGTTGAGGGTGCTGGGGCCGGTCCAGCTGAGCGGCTGCCGCGCCGCAGGGTCAGGGCAATGTCGAAAGTGGAGCTGGCAGGACGGCCAGAGCCGGGCTACGAAAGCATGGAGCCGTTCACCGTGAGCGTGGAGCACGTGGCCGAAATGCTGAGGACCATCGACTTCCAGCCGGGTGAGGGAGTGAGGATGGGAGGGGGCGGCGGGCCGCTGGGACTGGGCGTCCCGAGGGCACGCGGCAGGGGGGGGGGGCGTCACGGCCCGAGAAGCGGGGACCCCACCTCACGGGGCCTTCCTTGGGGCTAGGCGCTTCCGGGGAGGAAGAGGATGAGGAGGTGGCATTGGACGGGGAAGAGGGCAGCGCAGGGCCTGAGGAAGAGCGGCCGGAAGGTGAGTGCGGCCCGAGGCGCCTGGCGGGGCTGGCCCTACGCTCAGGTCCCCTCTTCTGTGATGCCTTCCTGCGGCCCCAGGGATGGCTGCAGGCCTCGGCTCCTGAAGCGCGTCCCCGCCCCATCGGGCGGGGGGCGCCCCCTAGCGCGCGTGCGGAAGTACACTCTCTTTCCCACCAGCCATTCCTGGGGGCTCTGGGAGACCAGGTTGGGTCGGGCCGTAGAGGAGAAAGCCACGTGGCTGGGGGAAAGGGGTAAGTTGGGGTTCGGAGCTGACTTGTTCCCGTGGAGAGCCCGCCCACCGAGCTTTCTTTCCCAGGCACAGGCGGGCACTGACCCGTCCCCTGTTGGAGAGCCCGCGCACCTGGGGCCTGGCGCTGGGGTCGCGGAGGACTTGCGCTGAGACCGCCGCGCCGCCCAGCTCGGCGCCCCGCCGCGGGGGAGGGGCTCAATAAAGGGCTAGTGCGTCCAGAACCGCATCTCCGTTCACTGCTCACTCTCAGCCTCGGCTTCGGAGGCGACCCCATCACCATCCTGCCCTTCTCCGGATCTGGGACCATTTGAGGGGCGGAAGTGGAATGACCCCCGTGGGGCATCTCCTTGATATCAAGCACGGGTTCCTCGAGCCCTGTGCCAAGGGAAGAGGGTCGGGGTGGGGCGGTGGCACCAGGACTTTGAGTTCCTGGGGTTCGATGGCACAGGACCCCCCCCGGCTGAAAGCCCTTCTGCCGGAGTCCTCGAGGAGCATCCGGTACCCTCTCGCCGGCCTGGGAGGCCACACTTTTCCACGGGCTCCCACCCTGCTGTGCTTCCCCGCGCCCCACAACCGAGGCCAAAGGCTCTTCAGCACTTTTATTAAAAATTGGTGACGCACAGAGTGCTCCGGGCATCCCTGGGCTGCTCTAGCCCGCGGGACTGGGTCAGTTCCAGTCGCGCACGTCCCGGCCCGGGGGTGGGGGACGGGGGTCGAGGTTCTCGTGGCTGCAGACCCCGCCGATCACTTGCCTACAGACTCGAATATGATGCGGTTCTGCTCGGCGCGCTCCCGCTGGCTCTGTGTCCGCGCCAGCTCCAGCAGGGTCCGCAGCAGGTGGAAGGTGAGATCAATGGACAGCGGAGGGTCGTCCCGTCTCGGTCTCTCGCCCGCGGTCCGGGATTCCCACCGGTCGGGCCCCGCGCGGCGCGGGAAGCGCTCGGCCAGCAGCAAGAGCAGCGCGCGGGCCCCGCCGTCCTGGTTCCGCGCCCCGGGGCTCCAGCGCAGACTCGGGTCCCGGACCCCGGCTGCCGCCGCCTCCGGGCTCCACCGGCTGCTCCCCGGGCGCAGCTGTGCCAGGAGCAGCAGCGCCACCAGCAGCGCCGCGTGTCCCCCCTGCTTCATGGTGCCGCCGGCCCTGGACACAGGGGTAGCGCAGGGTGAGGTGCGCCCGGGGCAGTCGCAGGTGGCGCCACTCCCCTTCCCGTGCGCATCCAGCTCCCCTGCCCGGCCCCTGTGCCTGCCGCCTGGTACCCACAGCCTTCCCTCCAGCCCCAGCCGCTGCCCAGCCCTCTCCTCCCTCTCCCTTTCTCCCTCTCTCCCCTTGGGCGAGCGGTGGTGGGTGAGCTGAGCACCAAGTCCTGGTGCTGAGAGAGTCAGGGCGGATGCTCCGAGCCACTCACAGGTTGCCAGAGAGTGTGCACGCCGCAGGACGGGGCTCCAGTCTCTGTCCGGTCTCTGTCCCTCGGGCGGGCTGAGGGCGCCGTGGGGACCACGGGGTCTGTCCTGGGACCGCCGCCAACCTTATATAGCTCCAGGACAGCTCCGACTGACGTCAGCGAGGAACATGCACGGACTGTAGAAGCAATGACGGCTGCAGCCTCAAGTCCACCGCTTGCGAGACCCAGAGGGGCGCACCTCAGAACCTGACTCTGGGTCCTGGGGCCAGCGCTGCAAGCAGCCCCTGCCTTAAGAGAGCAAGAAGCTGCTGGGGCGTAACCCTTGCTCTGGGAGCCACGAGAGTCCTTTAACTGCTTACAACAGCCAGCAGGGACTAGGCCCAGTCCCCAGATCAGACCAGTCAGGTGGCCAGGCTTCTGTGGCACACCGAAGAGAGGCTGGACCTCACGGCTGCCAGTGGCGCCCACCCTGCTGTTGGCCTCTAGAAGGGGCCAGAGGCATTGGGAGACGGTTGTGCTGCTCAGACCCAGTCCCTAGTCCCTGCTGTCGGTTCGGCCAACAGAGGCACTCAGGAGCACAGGCGGCTCCCAGCTCACGCTCTGGTACCACCCTAGAGGCAGCGAGGCGGCAAGGCAGCCCCCCACTGCCGGGATGCTTGGTCTTATTCCAGCCCCGTGGCCTAAATTCTAGGCCGGTCTGCCGAGGCACTACTTGGAGAGCCTCTGGCCTCTGGGTGCTTTCAGACTACAAAAGGCAGGTCCATCTGCTGCTGAGTTTGTCCCAAAGTGGTATTTTCACTGTTAGTTTTTCTTCTGGGAATCACAGCTGCAGTATTACTGTACCTCTGCCCTTCAGTTAAGATCACTTGGTAGGAAGTAAGGGAACTTGTCTTAGTCTCTTCACACTGCTATACCAAAAGTACTATCAACTAGGTATCTTATAAACAGCAAACATTTATTTCTCACAGTTCTAGAAGCCGGGAGGTCCAAGCCTATGGCGCTGGTAGATGTACTGGGTGAGAAGCCACTCACTAACTTTCATAGACAGCACCTTCTCGTTGTGTCCCCACATGGTGGGAGGGGTGAGGGATCTGTCTGGGGCTGTTTTAAAAGGGCACGAATCCCTCATGACCTAATCATCTCCGAAGGCCCCCACCGCCTAATGCCATCACCGTGGGCATTAGATTTTCAACAGATGAATTCTGGTGGGGACACCAACATTTATCTATAGCATGTGGGTTCCAGTTTCCACTCTGCCACTGGTCGGTGGTGTGGACAGGTCACCTCACTTGTGTGGACTCCAGTGTGCTCATCCGTAGAGGAAGATCAGGACTGGTTGTCTCTAGACTTCTTTCCGGCTCTAGAAATTCTGACTGCCCCACAGGTTTCTGCTGGGCCCTCCACATCACCTCAGCAGGTTTCGCACTACATACATACATAACCGATCTGCAGAGGCACCATATAAGGCTTTGGGGCCCCCAAAGAGCCAGAGCTCCAGCTGGGCTGGGAAGGTTAGAGAGCAGATGTACCTGTGAAGAGTGGGGGCGAGGGCGCTCTGGGATACGGGTGTGAGCTACAGTGGATGAGACCATACGTGTTTATGGAGTGCCTACCATGTGGTGGGATGAGACCATTAAAAAGGTTGTAATGAATTCACAAGGAGTCAGGTGCTCAGCCCATTAAGTTCTGAGTGGCCACGGAACCCCAGGAAAAGCGATGTGCCCACTTCAGGGAGGCCATGCGACCGCGCTGGGGTCAAGCTGCAGCACCGCCCGCGCAGACACCGGGGTGAGGCCAGCCTAGAGCCGGTGGGCCTTCCACGACAGGTAGGAGTTCCAGATGACCGCGACACACTGGACAACAGCCAACCTACGGAACAGGGGCGGCGGTGGCGGAGTGAGGACGATGGAGAATGAAGAGCAAGCGTTGGCGGGGGGCGGGGAGCTGGACCAGTGCTACGGATAAGGAGGGCTTGTCCCTGAGAACGTCCACACCGAGCTCTCCTTCCTTCAGCCCCGAGGGAGGGACAGGCGGCTCGGACCAGAGGACAAGCAGGCCGGGTTCTGCGGCCGCCCGAGCTCTGTCTCCGGGACAAGAGCCTCAGAGTAGAACATGCTCATCTCACCAAGTGTGGCCCTTATTCATGCCTGTGCAGGCTCCATCCGAACACACGTCTCTGTGCACCTTTACCAGCTGAAGAGATTTTATCTTCCAAAAACGTCCTGCCTGCCATGAAAAGTAGCACCTCCTTCTCTTTACTGTCAATTTGCCTTTCTCTAGTTTCAAAGAGTGTCGCAGGGACCCTAGTGTTGAGAAGCTGGTCCACAAGTCTTCCCCTAAGCTATGGTGTTCAGAGTCCCCTCTGAAGAGTTTTGTATTGTTCCCTGTTTCCAATGCCCTTTCACCCCCGACAATTTTACCTACTCATCTGGAGTTCCACTGTATTTTCTACTGTGGTTTCAGCAACTACCTTTATTATTGAGGTAGACTAGTACTCTGCAGTGGACTAAGAGGCCTAGGTTCCTCCCGGGCCCTTTCGTCTGCCTACGCTGCTGCCCCCCCGGCACTGTCCCTGCAGCCCTGCCATCCAAGGGGAGAGCTCAGGCGAGATGGAGACGGGGCTGTGAGCAGGAGCCTCTTCAGGAAGATGAAAGAAGGTCAGTGGGCAGGTTCTGGGATAGGTTCTCTAAAGAATAAGAAGTTCTGAAGAGAAGTTCTCAAGAGTCTGAGGAACTCTGCTCAGGGCAGGGTTCTGGGAGGGTCAAAAGTGATTCAAGGTTGAAAGGAGAATCACCGTGTGTCCAGCTGTTTGTGATGTGCACCTTCCTTGGAGAGTGGGGTGAGGATGTGTCTTACCTGTAATGAAGGGGGACCAGGTAGAAGTTGGCTAACTGCACAGCAGGCCAGAGCTACAAGAGAAAGAAGGTTAAGGTTGGGGGGCTGCCTCCCTCGCCCGACCTCCAGACTCGCTGGTCTTCCTCCAGCTTCTGCAGCCAAGAACAAGGTGAACGACTGGGTGAGTGCTTCCCTCAGTATGGTGCCCACACTGGGGACGAGAGAGTCACCCCAACTGAGGGGTTTCTCTGGCAGGAGGAGGACCCCCGTCCCTGGGCACTTCCAGACTCAAGAAAACAGGAGAACAGGCAGCTGCGGCGTCAGCGCTTACGTAGTAGTTGGTGACAAGGGCGTCAGGATAGTCCTGAGGAGACAAAAGGAACAAACTGACATGCACTCACTTCCACGCAGCGCCCACGTGCCAGTCTGCAGAGCACACCGGACACAGCGGCTGTTCAAAGACCAGACTCCGACCACAGCCCCCACCCCCCAGCTCCTCTTCTCCCGAGCCTGGGACTCTGGCTGCATCCCACCTGGCTCCTCCCCACAAAGCCGGCCTCACTGCCCTGGGCTGCCGGGCCGCCAGCCGGAGACTGCCCCCACCTGCCCAGCTCACCCGCCGTAGCTTGGCCCAGTTGTCTTGGGCTGACAGGCCATTGAGTGCTCCTACCAGTGGGAGGAAACAGCCCAGAAAACATGGGGCGAAGCCCCCCTAGGGGAGAGAAATTAAAGTTCTGTGAGCACCTAAAGCCCCACCCTCCCCCAGCCCAGCTCATGCTTCCTGAGGCCCTTTTCCTTCTGCTCACCTGATCCAACAGCATCTTCTTTAGTGCATCTACCTTGGTGGTACCGGGGATGAGGCGGTCCAAAACCCTGTACCAGCCTCCTACTACAGGGCCCTGAAAGTAAATCCCAGGGAGGACAGAGGGTGTGCGGTGAGGGGACCACTTGCCTTTTGCATCACAAAGCTCTTCTCTCAAGGATTAGAAACCAAATCCCAGTGGAAGCAGATGCTCGAGGTTGGCTTAGATGTAAGAGAGGTCAAGGGAAACTAAAGAATGACATGGAACTAGGACCACTGTCCAGTCCTCCAGCAGCCCAGCTGTGGATGGAACTTACCACAAAGCCACAGCCCAGGGAGACCATGATCAGGGTCCGGCCAGCCTGGTGCCCCCGCAGACCTCGCTTCTCCACCAGCTGCTGTGAGATAGTGTCACCCAGGCCCATCAGGGACCCTGCGCAGGGGACACAGGTGTTGTCAGGATACCTCCTGGAGATGGGCTGCCATTCCAGGGAGGGAAGGAAGTCCCTGAATGAGGCTCTGACACTCGGAGCCTAAGAGATTAATTCTGGGGCAAATGGCCAGTCCTTTACTGCTGCTTCGAAGTGTCCTGTTAGAAACTGGGAGGAGCAGCCTTGATGAGGCTGGGGCCCACAGCCTCTGCACAGAGTCCTAAAGGGAAGTCACAGTCAGAGACTGCAGATAAAGGAGAATCTAAGGTGCTTGGGGGGTGAGAATCATGGACTATCAGAATTGGAAAAGCCTTCCAGATAATTCCATCCAAACTCCTTATTTTTGAGGTATAGAAATGAAGGTCTGGGACCTCACATAACCAGTAAGTGGCAGAATCAAGGCAAGAACCAGGTGGCTTGATTTCCTACACAGTGATTTTTCCAGGACCCGTACTGTAGATAGATCATGTGTAGAATGGTAAGGAGCCCTGGGGTTTTTCCCCCAGTCCCAGGCAAGACCCTGGAAAGTGTCCTTCACCTTCGTCTTGGGGGTCTCTCTTTGTGAAGGACAGCAAGAATAATTCTTCTTCTAAAGCATGAGTGCTTACATGGTCCCAGGCAGGAAGATGACTGGTTGAACTGGTAAGAGTCCCCACAAGGAGGAGTCCTGGTCACCTCCTAGCACAATCAGGTAAACCCAGACTCCCCCCAACATTCACAACCTCAGACAGAGCGAACAATATTTATTATAGCCATTTCCCATCCCCACCCCCCAGGTCTTTGTACCTGCTTCCCCTTCCCTCACTCAGAGACACCCCGTCCCAAGCAACCCTAGTCAGACACCCACACCCAGAAACCAAGATAGAAACTGTCACTATTTACAGAGCCCCCCCATCAGTTACGGTGGCGTGATGGTTTCCAGCAAACACACACACACAGGTCACTTGGGAGTGACCAGATGATCTCCGGCTCGCCTGTCTGTCTCACTGAGTAATGAGAGCCCCTCTCCAGCCCCACAGCCACCACTGTCCCTGTGCCCTCAATTAGCACTGGGCAAACACATTCTTTAACCCTAGTCCTTGGTACAGAGCGGGCTCTGACGTCCATGCTGGCTGCACACTCACTGCCCTTCCCCCGCACCCTCCGCAAGGCCCTGTCCCCAAGGAGCCGCATCCAAGGCAGCTGGGGAAGGCTGGGGCCACGGGGGAGCCACCCATCATGGCAGTCCTGACTCTTCTCTCCCTGAAACTCTCAAAGTGCTGGAGGCTCTTCCCAGAATGTGCTAGCCACGACCTCCCAGATGGCAAGGACAGGATCCTAGACATCTTTTTTTTTTTTTTTTTTTGAGAGAGAGCGAGAGCACAAGCAGGGGGAGCGGCAGGGCAGAGGGAGAAGCAGACTCCCCGCTGAGCAGGGAGCCCGATGAGGGGCTCGATCCCAGGACCCTGGGGTCATGACCCCAGCCAAAGGCGGGCGCCCAACTGACTGAGCCACCCAGGCGCCCCAATCCTAGACATCTTTGTTCTCTTATCCTCCGCCACACCTAACCAAGGGCCTGGCAGGTGCTCAGAAAACCAACCAAGGAAAAATGTCAAATGCACTGCTCCAAACAACAGGCCCACTCCAAGAAGGGCGTGAGTAGCCCACAGGCCCACATGTCAGGCTCAAGGTGTGGGGACCCGTTGGCACTCATCTCCCTACCTCCTGCCTCACCTCCCCCAGGGAGGGCCTGCTGCCATGGCCATGCATAAAGGCAAGGGTACCCGGAGAAGGCCCGCAGAGGGCGGAACAGAAGGCAGTCGCTTCTTAAATGAAGAGACCTAACAGTTTGACACTCTACTTTGGCAAAATGTTTACAGTTTACAAATGGCTCTCACACACGTAATCCTCACGAAAGGTCTGGGAGGTAGGGTCACACTTCTTTTTAACGTCTTTGAGAGATGAAGTTATTTGGTAAGAAGGAGAGTGGGGCTGAACCCAGGCCTTCTCTCAAGCAGGGGCAGGAGGCTCGGGAACCACAGAAGGGGCGGAGACTTGGGCGCAGGGGTCAGGGGCGCCAAGAGGCCTCTGGCTTCTACTTGCAGGAGATACCTGCCCAAACAAGGCCCCAAAGGCCACGAGTCAAAGACACTTCTTGGACTAATGCACTTCCTGTCTTTTGCTGCCCAGGAGGTGACCCTCTCTGTTCCTTGTCACCTTGTGGGGAGGGCAAGCAGCAATATTCCTAGGTCACAACAGTCACAACGAGAGGGAGGTGTGTGTTTTCAGTCTTTGTGGCTTGCCAACAGTCACCCAACAAGCTGAAGACAGAGCAGGAATGATAACCACAGTCCGGGGAGCCAGCAGCCTTTGAGAAAGACGGACTCCAGGACCCCAGACCAGGTGCATCAGGCAGAAGGGCAGCAGTGAGACGGAGTGGGCTTGTAGCTCTGGAGACCCTGCCGGCCCTGCCCATTTCAGACAGAGCCATGCCCCGCAGTTCCTCCTCTGCCCATAGATCATCGGGGCGCTGGGCCTGCAGCACCTCCAGGGCAGTCAAAGGCTTTGGTCTGAGCACAGAGCAGGCCCGCATCTCTGGCCCAAGTGAGTTCGATCAAGAAGAGCTGACATTCAGATTCCTCACTCTACCTTCCCCAATGCCAGAGCCCAAACAGGCCCCAACTGAGTCCTCCTGACATATTTGGTTGGTCTAGATCTTTCGGTGCTCTGGCTCCCCTTGCCTTGGCCTTATTTCCAGGGGGTTGGAGCCGGAGACCTGCAGAGACGTAGTGCCCGAGCCCTGATGGGGCAGGGTGAGGGGCTGCCAGGCAGTGATGCCCAATGCCAGGCTGGGCGTGGAGCCCAGCAGGCAGACGTTGGCGCAGGCGTGACATCATACCCTTGGGTAGGTGCCAGTTCTCATGCCGTCACTCGCCACCGGATTCAGGGGAGTGAGGGGGTGGGGGGTAGGCTGCCTGAGCACCAATCTATTTGGGACCACCCGCTGCCCACTAGTGGAAAAGCCCCAACTTCCACACCGTCTTCCTAGTTCCCTATATCTCCTATTTTGTTCCTCTCCTGGCTTTTGTGTATGGGGTCATAGTTGCAAGAAAATAAAGTGCTAATGGAAGATGAGAAGGTTGAGGGGCTAGGGCGTGTGGGTGGCTCAGTCATTATGTGTCTGCCTTGGGCTCAGGTCATGATCCCAGGGTCCCGGGATTGAGCCCCGCATCGGGCTCCCTGCTCAGCGGGAGGCCTGCTTCTCCCTCTCCCACTCCCCCTGCTTGTGTTCCCTCTCTCGCTGTGTCTCTCTCTGTCCAAAAAAAAAAAAAAAAAAAAAAAAAAAAGGTTGAGGGGCAGCAAGGTGGAATGGGGAGCAGGAAGTGTGTCTTTGAGTATCAGAGGCCTGGGGCGACAAGTATAGCCACTGGCATGGGGCCAGTGGTGCTGCTGACTCACCCCTCCCCAGAAGTCTCCACAATTAAAAGGCTGCCTGGGCTGGGGGTTGGCTCTGACAGACCCCAGAGGCAACTGAAGCCTAGCAGAGAGAGGGGAGAGTGCATCCTCCGGGACCGCTCTAAATGCTCTATCCATTCCTGGCCCAAAGCTGTCCTACTGCTAGAAAATGAGACAAAACAGAGGGCTCTACAGCTTGTCAGGTATGTAAGCCCAGACCAACGGGGGCTACACCATTTTCCGAGGCCCCGTAGTGCAGGGCAGAGCACTGGGAAGTGTGCTCCATTCTGAGGCCAGTTCTGCTGGCCATGGGGACCCCAGTGCACGTCACCCCCACCCCTGACGCAGTCTCCTGCTCTATGGTATCAGGGCTGGACTGGACGCTCCAGGGCCCGCTGAGCTCTCACATCCTGGCAGAAGTCAGACTCCAGGGAAACCAGCGTCTGCAGCTCAGCTGCCCCCCTATAGCAGGACTAGAGCAGCCAAAAATGGATGGAGCTGGGCCTGGGGCCCACTGGAGACTGGAAGGGCCCTCCAGAAAGGACGCGAAAAGGCTGACTCAGGCTCTGCAGAACACACAGTGGACCTTTTCCCAGGCTGCTCTGTTCCTGACTTTAGCTGGGTCAACACTAGGCGTATCAGGCACTTCTTTTGAACCATTTCAGATCTTGATTCACTTCTCCCTTATTCTGGCCACTGCTGCAGCTCAACCTGATGAATCCTGCCTCAGCCCTGGGTCACACCCGGGGCTGCCCCGCTGATGCCTTAGCCGGGGACTGTACACAGGTGTTGACATCCCAGGTGGCAAACCTTTTACCAATGTGGGATGAGAACTAGTGGGTAAAGGTTTCTTGTCTCCAGAAAAGGCTATTCTCCCCTATAGTCCTAAGAGGCGTTTCAAAGAGCTTCTCAGTCAGTTTTAAGGGATGGGGCAGCCAGGTACCCTAAACAGTATGCAATTTGATCTTCCTTATACCTCTCCCTCCTCCCCCATGGGATTACTTCCTACTCCCTTACAAAGTACCTGCACCAAAGCCCCAGGCTCTGCTGTTAGAGAACCAAGGCTGAGAGAGTCACCCATGTTCAAATTTAAGGCAAATGGAACAAACGCAGCCAAAACACCAGTAGAAAAAAGAACAGCTTGTGGCCCCTGGGGGGCGCAGTCGGTTAAGTGTCCAACTCTTGGTTTCAGCTCAGGTTGTGATCTCAGGGTCGTGAGATCTAGCTCTGCATCTGACTCTGTGCTGAGCATGGAGTCGGCTTGAGATTCTCTCTCCTTCTCCCTCTGCCCCTTGGGCGCTTGTGTGCGCTCTCTCTCTCCCTAAAAAATAAATAAATCTAAAAAAAAAGAACAGCTTGTTGTGTGTGGGTTGACAACACTCATGGAAAGGGCCAAGCCCAGGAGCCTTTATGTCTATTAAGCATTTTTTTATTTCTAAAGCCTTTTCACAGAGATAACCCTCACGCTGACTCTGTGAGGTCAGCTAACGCAACTCAACTCCTGAACGAGGAAACTGAGGCTCTAAGAGGTTTACTGACTTGTCTCTGTTCGGGCAGCTACTGGGGGCTACGACTCTGAAATTCAAATTATGCTTTTCTAACTCCAAGTCTGAAATCTCTACTCGGTCTTCCAGTGTGAGGAGCTATCCCAGGGGTCCATGGGAAGCAATGTGCTAGGATCTAAAAACAGAGCTCAACCCACCTTGGGGAGCTCAACCCACCTTCTCCCTTTATTTGTAGTTTGATCCAAATACACTAGCAGCAGGAAAGAGGTCTGAGAAAAGTGCTACCTAGAAAGTGCTTCAGGGCCACACAGAGATGATGCGGGCTCTGGCACCGACAGACCCGCACCCCAGTTCGGCCACATATCTGTGCAAGGGGCCCTCTGAAGGACAGCTCCTCCCCTTGTCCCCCGCACACCCCTTGGGCAGGGAAACACAAGGACTATCCCTCCCTCTCTTTTCTTGATGGCCACGAGGGGGATCCTTCCTTCCAGCAGTGAAGGGCCCTGAGGGAGTCTGAGGCTGGCAGAGGGCCCAGCGTGTCAGTCCCCATCACAGCCACACAGTCCAGCATGAGTCACCACACACGCAACCAGGTGAGTCATGCAGGCTGATGGACAGTCTGAGGACAGGACATGGGGTGGTTGGGCACAGAGGTTGGAGAGGGGCCCAGGGAGGGGCAAAATCGCCCATCCCTTGGCCAGTCACCCAGTGAAGTTTCTAGTGCTGAAGTGGGGCTGTTCCAGTAAGAGGCCTACTGTTCCTCCTTGGCTTTCATAGCCTGCCGCTCCTCCCAACAGTCTTTCTCTCAGAAGCCCATGGTCCTCCCTAGAATCCCCTTCCCTTCCTCTAAACATAGGCAAGATCCCATCTTAACCCGATCACTCTTGCACTACCCCAACAGTCATAGACCTTCTACTCCTCTCCCCTGTAAAACTTACGTATCTCTGGGCCATCCCCTCCCTTCTTAGCTAAGGTGAAAAATAAAGATGGTAACAAATGCAGGTAAGTCACTGGGTTACCTTTGTTAGGTTGCTATCCAATCACTGGATTTGGAGTAAACATAAATCCTTGATTAGTGTATTGTTTGGGGATACATACATACATGGATAGTAAAACTGTAAGAAAAGCAAAAGAGTGGTATAAACAAAACTCAGGAAAGTAATTATTTCTTGGCTTGTATGAGTTAGGGATAGGTGCTCAAGGGTTCTCAAGCTGGGTACTGATACAAGAGTAATCAGTTTTAATACTATTTAAACTGTACACACATCTTAACCATTCTTTTGTATGTTAAGATATTATTTCATGATAAAAAAAAAAACGAAGAAAAATAAACTGGGCTAAGAGTCCTGATCCCAACACTTATTGGGTGTGTAATCTAACGTGGACTCAAGGGATCCTAGCTCACAGATCTTTGTGGGGACCCTATGAGATAATGTGTTGAAAAGTGTTTTGCACACTCTAAGATGTTAGAGGGGCGTGTGCTATTGTTAGCTTTCTAAGTTAAGGCCTCCTGGGGGAATGCCTTTAACCCGAAGGGATGACTCCTCAGCTTTCTGAGGACTTTCAGATCCTACTTTACAGCTCTGTATACCCTTTCCTTAGGAACAACCTTGGGGACCCACCCTCCAAAGGACTGGGGACAACTTCGGATGAGAGACAGCCAACCTTTCAAGGGTGCTCAATAGAAGCAAAAAATGAGGGAGGTTTGGTGGGGTGAGCTTCTGCCTCCCAAATCAGCCGGCTCTGGTCCCGCTCAGGTCTATTCACTCACCAGCTGTCAGGACCTGTACTTTCCACGGGTGAACGGTCAGGACTCGCTGGTATGCCCGCCAGAGTGCCATGATTCCTGTCAAGCCAAGAGGAGGGGGGGGGGTCACCCCCACTGCCCCTCCCCACAATTAAAGAGACGCTTGACTTTCCTTCATGCCCACTCCCTCTTCCCAACCCGCTTCCAAAATGTCCTAGAGGGGAGAGGCCTCAGGTGGGATGCTTCCTGAACAGCTTCCTGTCACAGGGATCGCCTCAGGCAAGCAGGTAATAGAGGAAGGCTGTAGGCGGCTGCGGAATCTCGGTGGCAGTCACCCGCCACCCCATCTCTGAAGCAGAGCCACCTGGGGGGGCCTACTTCCGTACCGAGACACTCCTAAGGGCATGTTTGCTCTTTCACCCAGAGCCTGGTCGGTCCCCACATTCACTCTTAGTCGGAACCAGCCCGCATCCTTCCTGAGTCCAACTCCACACCAGAAATAGGGCCTGTCATTCTCTGGGCCTGGACCGGTCACATACGCTTTGGGCGCTCCAGGCACGCGACGAATTGAGCCGGGAAAGGAGAATCGCCCGGCACTCACCTGCGTTCGCGTCCTGCCCCTCCCACGTGACCGGACCTGGGAAGGACTTCCGCCGCAAGCCCCGCCCCTTCGGGCGGAAGGCTGCCCCCGAAGCTTTCCACACACCCCCGACCCTCCCCGGGCAGCCAGAGGCTGGAATGGGAGTGGACTGAGCGAAATAACTGGTGGAGAATCGCTCAGCTGCCAGTCTGTGAGCAACCCCTTTTCCAAGTGGACAGTGCCGGGTCTCGGTGCCCCGCCTGCCATAGTCCCCACCTGGGGCCGACCTCTGCGTCCTCATGCCCCTTCCCTTCCCGAAGCCCGGGCTTTTCAACCTGGATAGACCCTCACCGCTCCCGCACCCCGGAACTGGCCAAGGTGCTGACGCCCTTCTCAGTCTCGGAAATCAACTTGGAAACTATAAGCCATAGTTAAGTGCGTGTGTTATTTTTTCAGTGTCCCTGGGTCTTCAACTAGCCTTGATTGTGAGCTCCTGAATGGGTGAAAATGGGTCTTGTTCGTATTTGGCATCTTCGTAGCACCTAGTTCAGCCTTTGTCCACAATGGCCTCTAGAAATGCTGTGTAAAGAGGACTCCTTCATGGAAAGCACGGGATTCCACAACCTCAGAAGGTCCTGGTACTGGTTTTTTAACTTAGTGGGCTCTACAGCCTTGGTCATCACTAGACTTGAACTTAAGGTTCCTCATCTGTTAGACTATGTTTTTCAAGCTGGGCTCCTCCGTGTTAGGGGTTTATAAGGAGATGTTTTGGGGAGGTATCACTACAGGTTTTACTTTACCTTGCCTTAAATATATTTCTAGAAAGAGCCACTTTTAAACAAAGAGACCCACAACTAGAAGTGTTTGGAAATCACTAGATTAGGTGATTTCTTAATCCCTTTTCAGCTTTAACATTCTAAAATTTTGTGAATATAGTGCAACATCCTTCTGAGGGTGGTGGAAACTACAATAAGATCCCTGGCAGATGTCAGGCTGGCAGCCTTCACTTAACTATATTCAGGAAACCCACACTACAGAAAGCAGCCATACCTGATTCTTTCAGGTATGTAACCCTAACCCTAAATCTCGCTGATTCATACCAGCGAGCCCTGACCATTCACCCGTGGAAAGTACAGGTCCTGACAGCTGGTGATGAATAGACCTGAGTGGAACCAGAGCCGGCTGATTTGGGAGGCAGAAGCTCTTGCCCCCGTTTACTCAATTCTTGTATGATTAAGACAGGGAGAATCCTGTCACAGGTACTGGAGAAACACAATGAGGAAGCAAGATAATTCGAAGTCACACTTAACTTAAAGGCTCCTATATGCAAAACACCCCATGCCAGGAGTGAATTTACATTAGTAAATTAATAGGAGACCAAATGTGGTAGGTTGGAAAGTTGTTCTCTGAAGTCAGACTGTCTACTTTCAAATCCCAGCACCACCACTTAGTAGACCTTATTCATACTGCTCAAACTCTCAGGATCTTACCTTTACAAGTAAAATGGGGCAATATCTACCTCATATGATTAACATATGCAAAATACCTGAAATAGATCAAGTGTTTAAATAAACACTCATGTATCCTCTTTTCTTCCTTCCTTCTTGAGAACACATGGGAGGGAGAATTTTTACTAGAGAAATCTGGGAAGCTCCTTGGTAAAAGGTGAAATTTGAGCTGGGACCTTGAAGGATGAATGTGGCTTATGTGGAGATGATGGAGGGAACGGTGTGAGCAAAGGCACAGGAAAGAAGTACAGCAATCCATGGATAGTATAAAATGGATATATTGGGAGGGAAGGTTGAGGTAGAATGGCCTTCAGAGGGTTTATGGTAGAGAAAGAAAGCAAGGGCTGAAAGCATTCTCCTGATTTTCTTTTGGAGGTAGAGACCAAGGCTAAGAGTCAGGAGCAGGAGCAGGGCTGCCAGCACCAACCTACAGCCCCAACAGCATGGGTCCCCAGGTCCCATCTTTTCTGCCACAGAAGGTGGAATTCCATGATGCAATGTCAAGGGCCTGCCGTGGAGAAGCAAAGCTTCTCTGCAATGGAAGGCACTTCCCTATCAGTCAGCTCAAAAACAAAACCGGCATAACCTGAGCGTGATCACAATAGGGCGGGTACAATACTTGCCTCCTTTGCACTGACGTGTCTTGTGATCCTTCTGCTGCTAATAGTCTGGTTGCCTCCAGGTTCTGTTTCCTCTTCCGTACAGGAAGGAAACTGAACTGCTTGTTGCCTTTCTTCTTGACATACGACAAATTCCCTACACCCAAGAGGCAGAAAGCTGTTCCCAGTTATCTGGCCAACCAGTCCACAGTGCCAGTGGGTTTTGTTCCAGGTAGGCACTAAATTAATCTCCACTCCCTTCAGTTGGAGCTGGCTGTGTATTTCCCTTTTTTCTGACGTCATCTACTTCCCCAGACTTGATTGTACTCCCGTACGCTCTAAGACTATGGTTTGCCTATTTCTCATTGCTGGGGTCTGTCTTTGGTTAGCAGGCAGTACTGCAGTCCCTATGAGTCTGCAGCACCCCATAAGAGGACTAACGAGAGGAGATGTAACAATACATTACAGTACTTGGGTTTTAAACACCTCCTATACAGAGACTGGAGATAAAGTAGCTAGACATGTTTAATAAGTCAACAATGTGACAGTATCATGAGGGACCAAAAATCATGACGTGTAAAGAATGGTTAAAGTAACTGAAGATATTTAATCTACAGAAGAAAAGACTTGGGAAACACATGATAGCTATTTTTAAATATACTCAAAAAGGCAATCACAGGGAAAAATGACTAGATTTCCTAATACCCATGGAGAAATTTATAGAAGTATACTCTTTGACTTGATATAAAGGAAGATTTTTTAAAACATGACTGCCTAGGAGTGTTCAAGTAGGGTCAGACGACCAGTGATTGGGAATATTTCATAAGCAGGAGCAAGTAAGATCTGAGCCACCGTTCTCCTGGTAGGGTGTTTGTGATGTTCCTCAGTTAAAGAAGTACTATAAGCAGCTTCAGTCCAATAAATTACTATCACCCCTCCTGGGCCTGTGTGTTGGTTACTCTAAAGAGGAAGTTGAGAAGGCAGTAATACTGGATCCTGGAATATAGTCACACAGGAGCCTTCATGTGGATACCCTCTCCAGTTCTCCAAACACCCACCTCACGTGTGGTCTCAAAAACACCCAGTACCTTTACTTAGCTTTACCCACTTCACAATATGCTCAATATGAGCAATTTGACTTCCAAGCCTAGGTCAGGCCTGAGTGTTACTCATGAGCCATAGCTGTAGGCTGAGGAGCCTTGAGAGTTTGTGGAGGGATAGCCCCCCCGCCCGCAGGGGGCTGTGATGACAGAAGTCTGTGGAAGGAGAGGTATCTAAGGAGTCCTGGCAAGGCAGATCTAAAGGTCCAGGTCTGGCAGCATCACTATCCATGAAGACCCCAGTTCCTATGGCATTGTGCATGGGGGGCCATTTGTTCCTGGCAGATTTCATTCCAAAGGTCCTGTGTGGACCATGACTAGGGACCGGGCAGAAGGCGATGGCTGGTTGGAGGGAAGCCAGGCCCTTTAATTGGGGAGGACGGCTGGAACATAGCACTGAAGTGGGCTCGACTCTCAAGCTGCATACGGTGGCCCAGGGGTGAGGTGAGTCCACGGACAAAATGGATCCGAACCAGCCCAGACTGTCCCCCAGATACCAGCCATCCATAGGAATCCAGGTTTGGGCTGAAGCGGACCTGGGAAGAGAATTGAAAACAAGAGAGATGTTCACAGTTGGTGCTTTAGGGTGAATCCTAGCTGTAAGGGGGGAGAAAAAGGGCGACAATATGAAAGGATAGGACCATGATGGGGTAAGAGAGGCAGGAAAGAGCTAGGTCTATCACGCTCTGGAGGATCAGGTTGCCAGAGCGGTCTTCCTTCCTTCCCTCTGCTACCTTTTCATCCCCCGTTTCATTGATCATAGCTTCAGAGTTGGGAGCAAATGAGAGTGAAGAAGGGTGGAGAAGATGAGAGAGACAAGGTCTTTACCTTGTGAATAGCCTCTAGCTGCAGCCTGTCCAGGCAGAGCTGCGAATGCCCCTCTCCTTCCTGCATGCGCAGCATTGGCTCCCTGTGGAGGAGATCATGGAAGGAACCCTGGGGAGGAGGGAGAAAGCCAGCAGCTTCTCAGTCTTGCATCTTTGTGCTGCAACTCCTTACAATGCCCTACTGTACCAGGACTAAAGTTTTCTTTTTTTAAAATGCCACACCCATTCTCCTGGCCTCAATTTACCAAATCTGTGTCTTGAAAGAGCAAGTAGTGATGGTTGACAGTTTCAGCGTAAGTTCGAGCTTTGGGAGGGTTGGGGGCCTCAGATGAAGTAGAAGAATGGTCTCGACCTTCAGGGCTGTCCTGATACGGCATCAGATCTGCTTTATATATAGGCTAGAAAGGAGACCATGAGATTAGGTCCTATAATACTGGAGACAGAATAAAAGAGAAAATTGATGGGGCGCCTGGGTGGCTCAGTCGGTTAAGCGTCCGACTCTTGATCTCAGCTCAGGTCTTGATCTCAGGGTCGTGAGTTCAAGCCCTGCATTGGGCTCCACGCTGGGCATGGAGCCTACTTAAAAAAAAGGAGAGAGAGAAAATTGGTTTTTGGGCAAGAAAGACTTGAAGATGGAAGAAGGTAGTATGTTTAAACACATGCACAGATGCACTAGGGTAGGGGAAGATTATGTACAACTTTGTGCTAAGACGTCCAGGAACAGTATCAGGTCTGGGAGACCTCATCCAAATTTACAGTTCTAACTTCGGAGGTCATGTGGATTAGGACCCAAAAGCTGGTGCTACCATTAAATATTCATGTACGTACGAATCTTCTCTCTACAGGTCGCTTGACGTTTATTGGGTTCAGTGCCATATCAGGCAATATGGCTGCAATGAGCTCCCCGGATATATCTCCTGCGGCTATTGTCCCAAGCCAGTCGGATCCTGAAAGACTCTAATAAAAAGAGACAGATTTCTTTCATTCATTCACTCACTCATACTGTTTCCGTTCTGTGAGCTGGAAACAGCCACACAGTCTGAAGTGGAAGACACACACAGAGAAACAAAAATGAGTTTATCGGGTGGAGGGATGGGGTCACTGGGGGATGGACATTAAGGAGGGCACATAATGTAATGAGCACTATATAAGACCGATGAATCACTGAACCCTACCTCTGAAACTAATAATACACTATATGTTAATTAATTGGATTTAAATAAAAAAAAAGTTTATCCTAACCTTTATCCCTGATGATACAGTTACCACACATCTATCTACTTCTATGCAGAACTACTGCTTCTTCCTGACCACCAGGAGGTGAGTAAAGGAATCGTTTTCCTGTGTAACGAAGACAGGGGCTCACCCAGACAGTGCCTTTTCGAGGAGCAGTGAAATAGGCCTTGAAACCAAGGTAACCAGCATCAATATAATGAATCCCACAGAGTCCATAACTGTAAGAGGAAGACAAAATAAAACTTTCTTTTCTCCAAGACAGCATTCATTTCCCTTTCCCAATTCCTTCCAGAATTCAAATTACCTCAATGAAACAACTCTCACCCCTCCTCACCCCACACTATCTGGCACACTTTGCACCCCAACCCTTAGGGCCTGTCCCTAGAGCTCCTCCCATCTGCATCCTGCCGTACGAGGCATAGCAGTTGTCCTGAGCCACAGTGACACCATTGTAGGGGAGCAGCCAGGCCAGCTCTGTACTCAAGAAGCGCTTGATAGAGTTTATGGGTTCATACGGTCGTCGAAGGTCCCAGAATTTTATTTTGCGGTCACTTCCCGCAGAGACGAGGAAATGACTGTGGGAAGAGGGTAGAAGAGGGAGAAGATCAAATCTGAGGAAGTCTCGGAGCACCGGCCTCTCTGGGCCTCACCTCCCACCCCACAGCTCTCCTGTCCTGTACCTGTTCGCTTTGCACCACTGAAGGGTACGCACAGCCTGGTCATGGGCTAGGAAACACTGGAAGGGGTAGAGCTTCAAGGAGCCGTCAGAGAGCCGTATCCGCTGCAGGGGTGAGTTAGTGGGAAGGTTCCAGAAAACCACCATGCCTGAGACAGGGATAAAATGTGTAGATATTACAAGCAAGTTCTCTCTTCTTTTGCTCTAATGTCTTTCTCTGGGCTCCTAGGACCTTTGCCTTTTACCCTCAGATGTGACCCCCTTATGAAAGGATATAGGGATCGTGATTAGCTAGCCAACATTCCCTCTGTGGCATTTTAGCTCCAACTCTCATCAACAAAAAATAGCTCAGTTTGGGACTTGTGGTTGAAAGGCAGACTGAATACACCCAATAGCCTCTATTCCCTACTAAATAGAAACAAAGGGATTTATTTTTTTTAAAGATTTTATTTATTTATTTGACACAGAGAGACACAGCGAGAGAGGGAACACAAGCAGGGGGAGTGGCAGAGGGAGAAGCAGGCTGAGCAAGGAGCCCGATGTGGGGCTCGATCCCAGGACCCTGGGATCATGACCTGAGCCAAAGGCAGACGCTTAACGACTGAGCCACTCAGGCACCCCCAAAGGGATTTTTTTAAAACCATAAACCCTCTAGGACAAGGGTTGGCGAATGACAGCCCGTGGGCCAAATACAGCCTGCTGCCTGCTTTGGTAAATAAAGTCTGACTGGAAGAGTGACACCCATTCGTTTACCTAATGTATGGCTACCTTCATTGCTCAATGGCAGAGCTGAGTAGTTCCGACAATGGTCAAACAGCCCACAAGGCATAAAACATTCACTATCTGCACCTTTAGAGAAACGTCTGCCAACTCTGCTCTAAGACAGAGAGAACAGGCAAGGAGCCAAAAGCAACAAGATGTAGAGAAACAGAAAACAAATGAACAAATAGAAACTAACTCTGCTGACCCAAAACAAGCTGCCCCCTGACCAGGCTGGCAGAGGAGGAGGGAATCAAAAGCATAACGTTGATAAAAATAAAAGACAAATTAAAGAACAGTAAGAATTTTTTTTTTTTTAAGATTTTACTTATTTGAGAGAGAAAGAGAGAGCACGAGTGGCGGAGGGGAGAAGCAGACTCCCTGCTGAGCAGGGAACCCAATGTGGGGCTCGATCCCAGGACCCTGGGATCATGACCTGAGCCGAAGGCAGATGCTTAACCGACCGAGCCACCCAGGCGCCCCAACAGTAAGAATTTAATATAGCTGGGGAAACTATTTGTAGCTAAAAACTCAGGAAATGTAGCACCTATGAACCTTTCTTGGAAAAGCTTATTGGCAGCGAACTCAAGCTGAGCCGTACCAGTCACGTAGCAACAAGGGCAGACTGAGAGGGACAGACTGGTGGACATGCGTGATCGTTTCAATGCAGAATTATAACTCGGGGAATTAAGACAGCAAAACAGCATCAAGAATGATGCCCCCTGATGATGTAAGAGTCACCGCACCAAAGGGAACACACATAAAAGACAGAGAAGGACAGGAAGAAGCGTGAGAGTGCTAATTTCCTGACCTCCTGGGGCAAGACTACTGATGAGGTCTAACCGTGAAATTGTTGCTTGTGGGCTTCAACTACCGGAATGCTCTTTATCTATGATCCTTTTCTCTCCCCTTTTAAACCTTGAGAGTGTCTTTAAGGAACTAACATCTCTGTGGCGAAGGAACACTTATGGGGAGGTTAGCCCATCTCTCAGTTTCAATTCAGTCTTTCTCTTTTATAAAAATTAAAGTGTAAATAAATTTCATAATTTTCATTTAAAATAGCTTATGTAGGGGCACCTGGCTGGCTCAGTCAGTGGAGCATGCGACTCTTGACCTCGGGGTTGTGAGTTCCAGCCCCATGTTGGCTGTGATTACTAAAAGGTAAAATCTTTAAAATAGCTTATATAGTATATTCCCATCACTATAGAATGCTCTCACCATCTGATCTTTTTATCTTTATATATGCAAAGAGAACTCCATGAAATGATGTTCATCCACTCTTTTTGTTTTTAAAGATTTTATTGAGAGAGAGCACGAGCAAGTGAGAGCATGAGCTGGGGGGAGGGGCAGAGGGAGAGGAAGCAGCAGACTCCCCACTGAGCAGGGAGCCCGACGAAGGGCTCGATCCCAGGACCTCGAGATCATGACTGAGCCAAAGGCAGACGCTTAACCTACTGAGCCACCCAGGTGCCCCTGTTCATTTGTTCTTAACTATGTTTTTCTGAGCAGAAAAATTCTAGTGACTTTTTTCTTTCTTCTTTGTATTTTTTTACATTGCTTAAACATAATGTCCAGCATTGAACCAAAAAGGAAACCACCACCAAAAAACAAGCATATATAGTTTTGTTTTTTTACCATTATAATAGCCAGCAGCCAGGTGGTGGTGGGGCCGGGTGGGCATCCAGGCCAGGCTAAGGCACTGACCGCACTCAGAGGGGTCCGAAGCTTGCATAGACCCTACCTGAAGGGTTGCCACACATTGTACCTGCAGGGACAGAAGAGCCGGGACTAGGGTTAGAGATACTTAACATTTGCAACAAAGGCTCAAATCAGTGTTTAATCCCGCAGAGGGGGAGAGGCAGAAGGAGACTCACTGTGGAATCAGAAAGGGAGGCTCGAGAAGATGGAGCCTTGGCTAAGGTAGCAGGTTCCTCACTCACCTTATAGATGGCGGGCTTCATTGCATCTGTGAGGGAAGAAGAGCAGTAACTGATGCTCTGGGAACAGAGGACTGACGTCCTGCCCTGCCTTGCTCTTAGATCAGCCCCCCTGATCTGACAATGACCTTCCCTGACAGCCATCTCTCCTCCAGCACACTGATGAATCTACCTCTACCTGCCCCATCTTCTTTTTCCCCCCTGTTGTACCTGAGTGTGTCCTTCCTCCTGTCAGAATGGCTAACTGCTCCACTCTACTCCCCACCCTCTCTCACCTTTTCCAGAACTTCGCTCATTTGGTTATCTTTCCTTTCTCCTGAATGATCCACCTTCTCTCTCCCTACTGGATCATTCTCATATTCAGACGTAAATATGCACCACAGTCTTCTAACCAAATGAAACAAACACACAAACCAAACCCTTCCTTTCCCCCTTACTCACCTCCAGCACCACCCTCATCTATGTGTTCTTCACAGCCAATCTACTTGAAAGAACTGTCCACGCATCTGTCTTCACTTCCTCACTGCCTGTTCACTCCTCAGCCCACTCCTCTGCCAGACCAGCAAATATGGGATTTCTCGGGGCTCAAACCTGGGTGCCCTCTTCTTTACATACTCAGTACAGTTGAAAAACAAATTTGACAAACAGGAGCTGCCTCTCACTAACCCCTTCCTCTTCTGGCTCATCTTCAGCTCTACATTCTCTCCCTCTCTCCCCAACAAAGAGACTGTGTTTATGTGTACGTGGCAGTTAGGACAGGAGAGGTGAAGCACAGGACTGGGGGAAGGAGAAGAGTGTGGCAGGGGAGATCAGCCTTAGCAGCTCTTTACACAGCCAATCAGCTGTGGCAGCAGGAGGGGAGAGCCTGAGAGCACAGAGCAGGGAAAGGGGGAGAAGGGGAGTGGGCTGAAAGAGCCCAGTGGTAAGACTGCAGGAGAGAGTACCCCTTGCAGGCTGCTAAAGAGAGAGGTTCAGGACAAGAGGGGTGAAGTCAGAGTGAGTGGAGTGCTAAGTGAGGCTCTGTCCCAGAGGCTGGGCCGGGAGGACTTTCAGGAGAGATGGACAGGGCCGGCTACAGCAGCACCACGTCCCCTGGGCTACTGTGCTACTCACCTGGGGACTGCTGAGCCAGCAGGGCCTCCGGATGGGGCAGACTGAACAGCAGCACCTTCCCGTCGGAGCAGGCAAGAGCCAAGAGGCCCAACCTGGGCAGGAGAGGAGCCTAGAGGGGGAGACCAGATCTGTGCTGAGGCTTGCCGCCTTCAGGGCTTCTCAGAAAACTTTTGAGGTTCTGGTCCCTGGAAATGACAGGAATTTGCTGGGAAAACTCCATCCTCGGCTCTCTGTCAACTCTGGGACCTCATAGGGCCTCTCTGTTCTGCCTGAGTCCTAAGGCATCCCACAACCAACAGGGAGGTACCTTCCGAGGAGTGCCTGGAAGTTCCCATGCTCCACTGGGGCAGAACTTGAGGTCCCAGATACAGCCGTGGTCACAAGCAATCCCATAGACAAAGTGAGCCCTGTTGCCAGGACTGAGGAGAGAAAGCATATGGGGCAAATGGGCAGGGAGAAGGGGCCAAGGGCCGCCAGAGCCTGTGCTCCGCCCCATCTCATCCAGGCCCTCAGCTCCCCTCCCCAGCACCGCCCCCCTAGCTTCCCTGCCCAGGTTCTCTCCTCCTCAACCACACTCCCATGGCAGCGCCCCAGCCCCACCTCACCAGCTTTCCTGTTGCAAGGTCCCAAGGCCCCAGACTTGGAGCAGCCCAGGACCCGAATGAAGCTGGCTCAGTGGGTGTGTCTCATTCATGTCAGGGCTGGAGAAAAGGGCCACATACTGCGAAGCTGCTGCCCCCTCTGGCACCGGACACCAGTCCAGAGCCCAGAGGGGCCCCCCCGTGAAGAAGGACACATCCCAGCGCTCTGGGTGTGCTGTGATCGAGCTAAATCTAAAGAAAAGTCAAAGATGGGATGAAGAAAGGAATTAACAGAAGGTATTAAGGACTTCAGTAGGTGAATGGATAAATTAACATCCAAACAATGGAATATTATTTGGCACTAAAAAGAAATGAGCTATCAAACCACGAAAAGGCGTGGAGGAACCTTAAATGCATATCATTAAGTGAAAGAAGCCCACCCGAAAAGGCTCCACACTGTGTGATCCCAACTATGGCACATTTTGGAAAAGGCCAAACTATAAAGACATCAAAAGATCCGAGATAGCGACGGTCAGAGGGGTGGGCAGGATGAGCGGTTAGAGCACAGAGGATTTTTAGAGCACAGAGGATTTTCAGGATACTCTCTATGGTATCCTAACAATGGAGACGGGTCATTACACATTTGTCTGAATCCACAGAATGCACAACACCGGAAGTGACCCCTAATGTAACTTATGGACTTCGAGTGCTGCTCTATCAGTAGAGGTTCATCAACCAGAACACACGTGCCCTCTGATGGGGGATGTTGGTAACAGGGGGGCTGTGCATGTGGAGGAGGGAAGAGGGGGTATATGGGAGATCTCTGCACCTTCCTCTCAGTTTTGCTGTGAACCTAAAACTGCTCCAAAAAAATTAAGTCTTTAAAAAAAAAGAAAAGGTAATGAGGACAGAATGGGAGCTCCAGCTCACGCTGGTATGAACTGGCCTAAGCAGAAGGTCTATGGGTGAGAACAGTCCTGAGCCACCTATCTGTGTCTGCCTCCTTTTCTTCCAAAGCCTGTCTAGCTCTAGTTCACCTTCAAAGATGAGAGGCTGTGCGTTCTGGTCTACTACAGTGTTCTCTCCAGGGCCAGTCTGTCCGGGTCTATCTGAGTAGATGTGACTTGGTAAACTGGCCCTCCATCTCCCTCGCTTCCCTTAGTCTGGCCAGCAGCAATGAGCACTGCAAATTAGAGCAGGTTAACCAGATCTAGCCAGGACTCCTACCTTGGGACCCCTTGGAACACCATCAGGGGAAGAACAGGGCCAATCTGTCATCCCTCTCAATACTCATTTTTCCTATTTCTATCTCCTAGAATCAGAAACAGATACACAATCTTCACCTGTTTATTCGGTAGAGTGTGCCATCCTCAGGAAGTCCTTCCCGCTGGACAGAAAACAGTGGAGACTTCTCTTCCTGGGGCAGGTAGGGAGCCGCTTCACTGGGGGCAGGGGAGAGAACAGCGTGAGTCTGGAAGTTTCACCCATCCCAAGATTCCCTGTCACCCTCCTGTCTTTAGGGGTGTCACCCCCTCTCAGCTTCAGAATACCTCTTCAACTTACAGTTCAGATAACAAGTGCCACTTCCAGGCCAATGGAATCCATTCTGCAAACTCCCAGTATGAATGCTTCTGCTCTCGGCTGGAGGAACAGAAGAAGCATTAATGAAGGAAAAGAGAAATTCTACAGCAGTGCTGCCCAGTAACCCTTTCTACAATGATGGAAGTGATCTATCATCTGTGCTGACAGATACACTAGCCACTAGCTCCAAGTAGCTACTGGGCACTTGAAATGTGGCTAGTGTAACTGAGAAACGACTTTTAATTTTAATTAATTTTAAATTACATTTAAATGGCCAAACACAGCTAGAGGCTACTATGTTGGACAGCACAGCTCTGGAGCTCTTGCCTTTGGAGCAGTGCCTTTTAGTTATGAATGTCTTCAGTGTCCTGCCCTGGGAGTGCCCTCTTTCCCGTGGCCCCACTTCTAGGTGGTCCTTTGCACGCCACCACCTTCTCATCCCCAGCCCCCTTCCTCAAGTCTCACAGGTCCTTGGTGAGATGGAGGCACTTCCAAACAGGAGCCATGATGTGATTTGGTAAGCCATTGGGAGCCATTCCCCGGCAGTGTGGCTTCTGCTTCTGAGGAGCAAATGGGAAAAAAGTATAAGTTAGGGAGAGACTTTTAGAGATAAGAGAAAGTCCCCAGAAGGCAGCTTTCCCAGCTTCTACTTTTCTTGGCAGCTTCCTCTCTGACTTATCAGCATCTTAAAAGACTGATGTTTCCGCCATTACGATGACTTCTCCACCTTCTGCTCCCACTCCTCCATCAGAACTGCAAAGCCTGTTACGTATTTTCTGTTCACCTTCCCCGGCGTCTCCATGGCATTTGGTTCAGAGGACTTCTATTTGCTTCCTGAAACCCCTGTCCCATGGGATAGTGTCTCCTTATTCTTCCTGCCTCTCTGATATTCCCCCACCGGCGCTCCCTCCTCTGACAGGTTTGGGTAATGATGGTGTTTCCCAGAGTCCCTCTGTCTTCTCCTCAACCCTCTATACATATACTCTCATCCCATGTCCACAGCTTTGACTACCATGGTTGACTTCTTAGTAAATGTAAACTTTACCCAGTTTTAGCTTTCCTACGAATTCTAGACTTTTACAGTGTGGTGCCAACCCATATTATAGAGCCTAAGGCAAAAGGAAAATCAGTAATACAGTGCCTGTCTTTATTTAAAACTTTGATATTTTGTTCACCATAAATTTGTTGTGTTTTTTCTTTTTTAAGATTTTATTTATTTATTTGAGAGAGCGAGTGCGAGAGACTCAGAGCACCAACGGGGGAAGGGGCAGAGGGAGAGGGAGAGGCAGACTCCCCACTGAGCAGGGAGCTCAACACGGGGCTTGATCCCAGGACCCCAGGATCATGACCTGAGCCTAAGGCCGATGCTTAGCCGCCTGAGCCACGGAAGCACCCTGCATTACCTTTATTTGTTAAAATGTTGCATCAAAATATTTATCTTGATTACTGAGGGGTTTGGTGTTCCCTTAAATGTTGCGCTTGAAACAAGGAAGGCACATGTCCATGCACATGACTGGCAACCAGACATCTCCAGTAGGACGGCTCATGGCACCCAGGCACCTCCAATTCAGCATGTCAGAAAATGAGCCCATCACCTCCCCTGCTCACCCTCACTCCTCCCATGCTCCCACCGTTCCGCTGTCCCAAAGTCCAGCACTTAAGAGCACCATCTAAGCTAGAAACTCCTACTCCTTCCTTTGCAGCAACTGCCAAGTGCTGCTAATTCTCTGAAATGTCTCTTGTACCTGCCCCCCACCTTGGCTTGCTTCACAGCCTGATCCAGGCTCTCCCTATCATGACCTGGATAACCGAAGCTGTCTTCTGACCGCCCACTGCAGACTGACCTATCGTCCTAACTGATCACGTTATTTTTCTACTTAAAAACCTGTTGCACAGAGTTTCTGTGATGATGAAAATGTCTTGGGAATGGGTAACAGTGATGGCTGCACAACACTAGGAATGGGCTGACGCCACTCAGTTGTACTTTTTCGGGGGGGAGAGCAGAGGAAGGGGGGGGAGAGAGAGTCTCAAGCAGGCTCCACGCCTAGCACGGAGCCTGACACGGGGCTCCATCTCACAGCCGTGAGATCATGACCTGAGCCAAAATCAAGAGTTGGATGCTCAACGGACTGAGCCACCCAGGCGCCCCCAAAAATAATTTACATTTTTAAATGGCAAATTTTATGTTATGTATATTTTACCACAATTCAACAAACACACAAACACCTGTGTTGGCTCCTACCAGTCTGTCCTTCCATCTCCTCGAGTTTAATGCCCCACTGCTGCCCCCGCTGGTCCCGCAGGGCATTTCTATACCTTTGGGAACTTGCCGAGGGCTCTCAACAGCTCTGCCTGCTGCGGTCTTGTCCTGGGAATTCCCAGAGACCACTCTCTCTGGCAAACTCCTGTTCACCTTTCAAGACCCAGCTCGGCCATCACTTGTCTGTGAAGCCCCAGCAGTTCACTGCCCTCCTTGGCACGCCAAAAGCATTTGGTTCCCTCCCAGGGAAGCCCTCATCACACGGTGGAGTCTGTGAGGCAGGAGGCTGTCTTAGTCACGTGTGTTTCCTAGTGCGGAGGAGGCACTCGGTAGCTGAGTGAGCGACCTCATGCACTTACACCGCCAGCCTCCGCCTGCTCGGCTCTTTCATCGTTTCTTCGTTTACTTCTTTTGGCCATCAGTTACTAGGCCAAAGCTTTCCGCTAGGGCACCCTGCAGACCCCCCTAACAATCCCTCTACCTCCCCATTCGCTTTCTTGTTCACTCAGATTACCCCTGAAGTGGATCCTCGTGGGGTGCTTTGAGGCACCACAGGCTCAGGGTCAGAGGAGCTCTCGCTTGGGCCCTCGCTTTCATCTCCATCTTCAGCCTCAACCTGGAGAACAAAGTCTTCATCCCGTGCGGCGTCATCCTCCTCTCCACCTTGACAGGCTGCCTGCTGCCGGTTTTTCTTCGCTTTGGCGGGGCTGCTCACCTTGGGGCTCTCAGGACAGGGCACTGGAGCGGGCAGGGCCGTTGAAAGCTCTTCAGCCAGTTCCTGAAGGTACAGAAGTGCCCTGCGGGACAGGGCAGAGTCAGAGCAAACACTTAACGGAGAACCCACTTTTCCAGACACTTGGCCGATTATCTCACTGGGTCTGCCCAGTGACTCTGTGAAGCAGCTATTCATTTCCCCTCCCCCTTTGATAAAGAACCAGAAATTTAGGGAAGTTAAGGGACTTGGCCAAGGGAGGGCTCAGATCACACATGTGGAATCTGAACCCAGGTCTGCCAACTCCAAGTCCAAGGCACTTGCCCTCTACCACAGTCAGAGATCAGTAAGAGCCCAGAAAAGAATGGGAGGGCACACAGAGACCAACAGATACTGGGCGGGGAAAATCGCAATGAAGACCTAGAGGAAACTGAAAAATGTGACAGGAAACAAGGCACAGAAAGCAATCTCCTGGACAAACTCAGTAACAGATAAAAAAGTTGCTGTAATAAGAGCTAGAAGATGGCTCAAGTCCCCAGAAGCCAGACGCTACCCGCCGCTTACCTGACAACTCGTCACAGCCTCTCAGCTCTCCAACATCTGCCCCCGCCAACCCTTCACCCCGACCGCCCTCCAACAAGCTGTGCCCCACAATCCTTACACTTGGGCAGCCCTTCGGCGGGGTCGTTCCCCAGGAGGGGTCTCAAAGTCCTCAGGGGGCCTCTTTGGAGGTGGAGACTCTGGCTGATCAAGGTCTTTGGACAACTTCAGCAGTAGCAGCTCTGCCTTGGACCTTCGACCTCGTTTCTTAGGCATGGGGGCGGATAGAGGGTTGGATTGATCTAAGAGACCAGGAACCAGAGGGGCTGATGGAGGATTAGGCTGTTGGGGCCTTTTGGGGCCTTTCCGTGTGCTACCACCTCTCTTCCGGCCAGGCTTTGAGGCCCTAGGCTTTGAGACCTTTGACATCTGTGAAGAAAGATCTGTAGAGAAGAATATGGGTGAGACGAGAGCAGAGCTCAAACCTCCGTGGGACAGATTACACCATACCCAGGTCGGTAAGATCCTGTGAGCTCACCCTGCTCTCTTTTACCTTAAGCTAAGCACGGGGAGATAAAAATAGGAAAGGACACGGTATATACCTTGCTGTTCGAGTCTGGAGAGGCTTTCTTGTTCTGCAGGGAGCCTCCTCTCGTCAAGAGAATCCTCAAATCCAGGCAAAGGTGGAGGCAAAGACATCTCTATGGAAGCCTCGGCACTAGTTTCTGAAGAGGCCTTGACATCAAGCTGATTTAGCACCTCTTGTCCCGGAGACACTACCACAGTCATGTTCCCCACGGGGCCGGCCTCCCCCAGGGCAACACAGCCGACCCCGCAGGTATCCATCAGCACCCCCTAAAATGGCTGCCCCTGCAGAGAGACATACACATGAGTAGAAGGCAAAAGCTATTTGCACCGGTTCAGAGTTTTCTCCTTTCCTATCTTTTCTCCTCCCATCCCACCCACCGCCCACCCCCCCAGCCAGAAACCCAACCACTCCCTGATCACTCATTCCTTTCACAATAATTACTAAGCATCTTCTATGTCAGAGACTGTTCTAGGAACTGGTAACATGACAATAAACAAGACAGACAAGGTCCCTGCCCTCATGGAACTTACACACTAGCAGAGCTAGCAATAAACGGGTAATAAGAAAGCTACCGTTTATTTATTAAATGCTTACTATGTGCCAAGCATTATATTCTTCGGCCAGTTTAATTTAAAGCTCTTAAGTTTACTCGTAAGGATAATGCAGTGAATGAACAATCATTCAACTTCTTTCCTTAAAACCCAATGAAATGAATCACTGTCTTCCCCTCAAAAAATAAAAAGAGAGGGTGAAAAAATCTTCCTAAACCTCCTAGGAATAGACTACAAAGAATAGCTGCCGAGGGGTGGCTGGGTGATGGACACTGGGGAGGGTATGTGTTGTGGTGAGCGCTGTGTGTTGTGTAAGGCCGATGAATCACAGACCTGTACCCCTGAAATAAAAAATACATGATACGTCAATAAATAAATAAATAAATAAATAAAAGAATAGCTGCCGATACATAAAATTTAGACCAAATTGAAGGAGGATGCCTAGAGCTAACATCCATCTTTGTGAATACTAGTCAAGGAATAGATTTATTTAATAATAAGTAAGAGTTCTCTAGTGCCCTGCCATTAATTTTTTCCTTGAGTAGGGGAGGTGGATGGCTATGAGATAATTAAGGAACATCCTACCACATTAAGAGGCCTTTCCCACATTGAAGAATGGACTAAAAAACTGTCATGAATCCTTTTTTTTTTTTTTTGAGAAAAAGAGAGAGAGAGAGAGGACTCATGCATGCACCAGAGCAGGGGAGGGGCAGAAGGAAAGGGAGAGTCTCAAGCTGACTCCTGCTGAGTGCAGAGTCTGAAGCAGAGCCCAAAGCAGGGCCCGATCCCATGACCCTGAGATCATGACCTGAGCCAAAACCATGAGTCAGTCACTTAACCGACTTAGTAACCCAAGCGCCCCTCTTCATTCTTTTTTTCCAAACCCAGAAAATCATTTGTGCAACCATGGGCAAAAGTAAACTGACAGAGATAAACAAAACACTGAACACCAAACCAAAAAGCTGAGCAACACAGAACTCTGCAAGGGCCCAGTTTTTGGCCAGAATAACCTGCCTGTCTATGACAAAGGAGAAATAGCTCAAATCTCAGGAAGGAATACCCCATAGATCTGTATATGCCTTAAGGATGTTTAACAGAACCAAAGTAGTATACAATATTGCTTCCAAAATGCCTAGTGGGCCACAGGAATCAGAAGGAATTGCTTTAAAGGCTACAGAGTAAGAGATGGAAATAAAAGAAACACAAAGAAAAGACCTACAAGATGACTTAAGATATGACTATAACAATAACCAAAGATCAATTCATCCATTAAAAAAATAAAATAAAATAAAGATTTGGATTGACTTAAAAGCCAAACTATGGGGCACCTGGGTGGCTCGGTCAGTTAAGCATCTGCCTTCGGCTCAGGTCATGATCCCAGGGTCCGCATCGGGCTCGCTGCTCCGCGGGGAGCCTGCTTCTCCCTCTCCCACTCCCCCTGCTTGTGTTCCCTCTCTCGCTGTCTCTCTCTCTGTCAAATAAATAAATTAAAATCTTTAAAATAAATAAATAAATAAATAAATAAAAGCCAAACTATATGCTTTGAAAGAGATGTCTAAAACAAAGGAACTCAAAGAGCTGGAAGTCAAAAGATATAAAAATATATAGGGCAAATGTAGGCACAAAGAAAACAGGAGTTTTGTTAACAACAAAGTTGAATTCAGGGGAAAAAGTATTAAATGGGACAAAAAGGGAATACTTGATAATAAATAAAACTTCAAATTATATAAAAGATAAATGTCATGAACTCTTAATTCATCAAATGACATAGCATCAAAACAAAGCCAAATCTTCAGGAAATACAAGAACTACTTCTTTTAACCACTGACCGATCAAGTAGATAAGGACAGAGAAGACATGAATAAAATGATTATTTGACCTCTCTATTGGTCAAGGTTCAGCACACAGAACAGAATCCTCTCTAGCCAGTTCAGCTAAAAGGGATTTATTACTGGGTATTATTACATGGTTCACATCAGTGGCTCCTAAAGCATGGTCCTGGCAGCATTAGCATCCCTTGGAAATTTGTTAAATGCAGATTTCCAGGGGCGCCTGCGTGGCTCGGTCGGTTAAGCGGCTGCCTTCGGCTCAGGTCATGGTCCCGGGGTCCTGGGATCGAGCCCCGCGTCCGGCTCCCTGCTCAGCGGGGAGCCTGCTTCTCCCTCTCCCTCTGCCTGCCACTCTGCCTACTTGTGCTTTCTCTCTCTGTCAAATAAATAGATGAAATCTTTAAAAAAATAAATAAATAAAATAAAATGCAGATTTCCAGTCCTATCCCAGACCTACTGAATCAAAAACTCTGGGATGGGGCCAGCACTTTTTGTCTTCACAAAGCCCTTCAGATTATTTGGATGCACAGGCAAGTTTGAGAACCACCTGCATGCAGGATCATTGGGAGGGTTGGGGGTGAGGAGGGGCAGTTTAGAACAAGTGCTGGTCAAAATGGGAAGTTGTCTGGCAGCTGCTAGTTCAAGAACCACAAGACCTCTCCTATGCAATGAGGAGGCACCTGCGAATCAAGAAGTTCCTGCCACAGCTGATGGCTCCATGAACGGCCTCTGCACTGATCAGAGAGTGACCTGACTCAAGAGGGAAGACCCTGCTCGGCTCCCAGGTCCACAATCATACCCCTGCCACAATCTGAACTGTCAAAATGTATGGCCTGCCTCTCTCCTCTCTAAACTCGGGTCCAAATTTGAGACCACATCTGACTGGCAAGACCTATCATATTCAGAATCTTGGATGGAAAAAAATTCCAGGAATTGAAATTTCTAGCTTTCCAGGCTATCAAGTGGAGGTTTTTTCCTTCTCTCACATCCCACTGACCCCACTGTAGAAGGTGGGATCAGTGTCTTGTCAGTTCCTCTCCAAATGCACTTGTAGACCAGCAGTCCTCCCTATTTTGTAAAAACTGTTCCTTTGAAGCCCGTAACATTCAGCTAACCCACTGCTACTCACTCACTGTAATACACTGGACCTTGTCTCACAAATCCTTTTAACCTCTAAAATCACAAAGACATCCCACTATCTGATCACAACCTCCCATCATTATATCTAGATTGCTTAACTACGATCACTTTATCTATTCTTCAGCCATATCAAGCCACCATCATTGACGTCTCCAGTTTCTCCCTGTGTTGGCCACATCCTATCTACCTTAGATGCCTTTATTTTAATCAGACTTTTGTTGATAGTATAAAGTTCCTTTCTTGTCTTTTTGTTCCACAGGACTGGCAAAATTTAAGCCCTGGATGAACCAACCATCCTTTTTCTCTATGCGTGCATCTAAGCTGCCGGAGTGCTAGCAATCACACTTTCTCTCTTGTCAGCCCCCACATTCCCTCACCCCCAACCTCTGATCCCCTGGTTCTCAGCAGATGATTTTGCCTCTGATTTCCGAAACAAAACCCAAAGCCATTATGTGGGACATACTTTGACGTCTGGTCAAGTAGCCTAACATTCCCTGCATCTGAACCCCTCATCTACTTTCTAAGCCCAACTTCCACTTGTGTTCTAGCTCTACTCCCCCATCTCCTAAGGACACTGGAATTGTTTAGCTTTTTCTTTTACATTGTTTGTTTCCCAACTGCATTTACATGTCTCTAATTCTCATCTTAACACACACACAACAATCCTTCAACCCACATTCTTCCTCCCTCTCACAGTCAAACTTTTAAAGAGCTGTCTGCCCTTGATGTTTTAATTACCCTGCTTCATTTTGACTAGGATATTGCCCTCCAACTCATCACTGAGGCTGAAGTCATCAATAGTTGCTGGGTCAACTAATGCAATGGGCACTTCTCAGTCTCATTTAACTCGATCTCTCAGCAGCACGGACGCTACTGACCACACCTTTCTTGGAACATTCTCTTTTCTTCAGAGGCAGTTTAAGTGCAATGAAGTTTTAGATTTTTACAAACTTTTCCTCGATCTTTTACAGCTGTCTCACTCACACCTATTTGGCAGCCTCTTTGTTTCTTGGCAAATGTACCTCTTTTTTCTTTCCAAAGCATTCAACTTGGTTTGCTTTCTTTTCTTTTTTAGAATTGTTTTTATAAAACTTTTAGTTGACACAAAATACTTGTAAATACATGTAGAATGTAAAGAATAACGAAGTACCTATTTATCTGCCACATTTCAACTTAGTTTTAATAGCAATAACTCTTCCATACTCAAATTTCTTTAAAATTTAAACATATCACAATTATATAAATATAATGACAAATTAACTGCCATAAAAAATGTTGAGAACCATTACAATGATCTTGGCAAGCATTCAACTCAATCAGTGGAGAGAGAATGACCAGGCCTATAGGAGAAAAGCCTATAGGCTTCAAGCATTCAGTGTGCCACGGGCATCAGTCTGTACACTCTACAGAGGAAACGGGGAATGTCAGTTAACACAGGGAGCTAGTTAAATAGGTATCAGTTAAGAGAACTTCTGTGTATGCCTTAAGGATTTTCCACATCAGTACACACACACACACACACACACACACACACATATATCTCATTCTTCCTAGTTACTCTCCAGTGTTCCTTAGAATTATAATTGTACCCATTTTACCACACCCTTGCTAGTCTTTAATTTTTGCCAATCTAATGCATGAAAGAATTCTTCCCTATTGTATTTATTTGCATTGTCCTGATAATGATTGAGGTTAGCAACTTCTTTTTATCTGTTGGACATCTATGTATCTATCTATATGTATTTTTTTTTAAGATTTATTTGAGTGAGCGAGCAAGCGCAAAAGCACGAGGCGGGGGGAGAGAGAATCTCAAGCGGACTCCTTGCTCAGTGCGGAGCACCACATGGGGCTCAATCTCATAACACTCAAATCAGGACCTGAGCTGAAACCAAAAGTCAGTTACTTAACTGACTGTGCCACCCAGGCGCCTGGAACATCTATATACATTTTTTTAAAAGATTTTATTCCTTTGTCTGAGAGAGAGAATGTGAGCACAAGCAGGGGGAGCAGCAGGCAGAGGGAGAAGCAGGCTTCCTGCTGAGCAAGGAGCCCAAAGTGGGACTAGATCGAAGGACCCTGGGATCATGACCTAAGCCAAAGGCTGTTAGACACTTAACCAACTGAGCCACCCAGGGACCCTCATTTTTTAAAAAAAGATTTTATTTATTTCTTTGTCAGAGAGAGAGAGAGGGGATATCTGTATTTTTTAATGAATTGCCTGTACATATAATTTGCCCATACCTCTATAGGACAAATCAATCTTTTATTGATCTGTGGAGCTGCTATTTTTGTTGCAAATACTTTGTTTCTACTTTTTAAAAAAGATTATTATTTTAGAGGGGGGAGGGGCAAAGAGGGAGAGAGAGAGAATCTCAAGCTGACTCTTCACTGAGCTTGGAGCCATACCTGAGGCTCCATATAATACCCGGAGATCATGACCTAAGCTGAAATCAAGAGTTGGACACAACCGACTGAGCCACCCAGGCGCCTTTGTTTTTACTTTTTAAAAAACTTTATAATGTTTCTTGCTAAACTGAAGTTATATTTTCTGAATTAAATTTCTCAATCTTTTCCTTTATGAGTTGTTTTGTGTTTTAAAAGGCCATTTCCTACCCTAATATAAACATATCCTATTTTCTTCTAATACTCTCTAGTTTGAATCTTAAATGTAACTTTTTAAGATTTTATTTATTCATTTGAGAGACAGCGAGCGAGCACAAGCGGGGGGGAGCAGCAGGCAGAGGGAGAAACAGACTCCCTTTTGAGCAGGGACCCTGACTGGGGATCGTGACCTGAGTCACCCAGGTGCCCTTAAATGTAGCTCTTTAGTCCATGTGGAATTCTCTTATGATAAGAGAAATGAGTATTTACGTACTTCATTATCTGTCTCACTTGGAAGTTTCATAAGGATCTTGGGGCATCTGGGTGGCTCAGTTGTTAAGCGTCTGCCTTCCGCTCAGGTCATGGTCCCAGGGTCCTGGGATAGAGCCATGTCCGGCTCCCTGCTCAGCAGGAAGCCTGCTTCTCCCTCTCCCTCTCCCCCTGCTTGTGTTCCCTCTCTCGCTGTCTCTCTCTGTCAAATAAATAAATAAAATCTTTAAAAAAAAAAAAAAAGTTTCATAAGGATCTTGCCTGACTCACTGTTGAATCCAGAACCTGGTTACATGGTTAAGTGCAATAATTAAAACTTTGTTGATTTAACGACTAACCTCTCAAGCTGCAAAAAATCCCTTTAAGGATTCACTTCTGTAGAAGGCAGCAGCAGGGTATGGTGGTCAATTTCCATTTATGATTTCACAATACAAATTCCAGACACAAGTAAAGGAAGGAATGTTTAATAAATTTGTGCTAGCGTTTATAGAAGTTTCTTTTAAAAAAAAAAGATTTATTTGACAGACACAGCGGGAGAGGGAACACACAAGCAGGGGGAGTGGGAGAGGGAGAAGCAGGCTCCCCGCGGACCAGAGAGCCCGATGCGGGGCTCGATCCCAGAACCCCGAGATCATGACCGGAGCGAAGGCAGACGCCCAACGACTGAGCCATCCAGGCGCCCCTATAGAAGTGTTGTTGTTTTTTTTTTTTAAGATTTTATTATTTATTTGACAGAGAGAGAGACACAGCGAGAGAGGGAACACAAGCAGGGCGAGTGGAAGAGGGAGAAGCAGGCTTCCTGCCGAGCAGTGAGCCCGATGCGGGGCTAGATCCCAGGACCCTGGGACCATGACGTGAGCCAAAGGCAGCTGCTTAACTGACTGAGCCACCCAGGCGCCCCGAGTTTATATAAGTTTACATCTGCACCTCAACTTGTTTGCAATACTGCTTCAAGGCTGCCAGGATTTCCCCAGTCAAGGAAAATAATTAGTTAACACAGTTCCTAAAGGATGGAATTACTTTAAACACACTGGTCTAATACACTGTTTCCCAAAGTGTTCCTATGGTGCACCTGGTGCTATGCAGGATGATTTTAGTGATACAAAAATGAACGACTTTATCTAACTATATTTATTTTAACTTGTATGAAAAACTCTAGCCCATGGGGGCGCCAGGGTGGCTCAGTCACTGAAGCCTCAGACTCTTGATTTCTGCTCAGGTCGTGATCTCAGGGTCGTGAGACCGAGCTCTGGAATCCGGCTCCCCGCTGGGCTTGCAGCCAGCTTAAGATTCCCTCCTCCCTCTGCCCCTCCCCCCAACTCCCCTCCGCGCGCGCGCGCTCTCTCTCAAAACAAAAACAAAAAAACTCTCGCCCATGAAACCCACGGTTTCATCTGTCTTGCTTTGATTGAGACTAAAGTACTTAAACTTGAAAAACAAACCAATTTAAAGAAAACTATTAAGAAAATAATAGTACATTAGATAAGAAGGGATGGCAAAAAGTAACCAAGGAACAGGAATGGCTTAAGTTTGTTTAACAATACGCCGCTAGGGCGAATAGGCTTCGCCATACACACTACACCTCTCTAACAAAGTGAGTTACCACGGGTGGGGCTGAAGTCCCCTCCTCCGCCTTCCCCAGCAGACAGCCTACTTGCCGCGGGATAAAAGCACCAGAAGGGAAACATAACTGGCCCTTGGCTGCGCCAATGGGGTTGGAGCGCGCGGGGCACAACCCCGGGGTTAGAAGAGCCTCATGGAGGAAGAGGATGGGACGCAGCAGAATGAGGAGGCTAACCCGCTACCACTATAGGAGTGATCGCCTGCCCTTCCTCAGTCATGGGTGTGGGGGCAGCTTCCACCACTAGCCTGCGTTGGGAGCGAGCCCTGAGTTTTCTGAGGCTCAGAACTACTGAAGGTTCGCTGAGTCCGAGGGATGGAATGCAAGTAGCGCCGCGGCCGGGACACAGGATGCCGTGTTACCGCACCGCGTCGGGGAAGAAGGCAAGAGCCGTGATTAGCAGGGATGAGGGATGTCTGGTTGCACTACAGGGAAGGAGGTGGGGAGTGTGATAGTTTCTGTAGCAGCGCGGGGGCTGCAGGTCGCGATGCTATGCAGAGAAGGAACAGCGGGGTCGGGAGTTGGTTCCCAATATCTTAGTGCTATGGGAAAAGGAGGAGGAGGAGTAATCGTGGGGCCCCCGCTCACCCCGCTGCGGTACACTCACCCTCACCAAAGTCCTTCCGGAAGTCCAAGTTCGAAGATGGCGCCGCCTGTCTGGTCGCGGTTTTATGACGAAATCTGGTAGCTACTCTTTATTGACCCCCTCCCCCCACCGCCCTGCCGCCAATGCACAAGGTAAACATGTGAGCTTCGTGGGTACTTTGGCCCGAAGACGTTTTCTCAGACTATGTATTCCATAATGCAGTGCGGCGAGAGTCCCGCGCCCTTTCGGAGCTGGCGAGGCTCCCGGGCTTTAGCCGCGCCGGGGACGCTGCGTGGCCTTCTGGGAATTGCAGTGTCAAGAAAGGAAGATTGACGCCTGCGCGGTGACGGCCGTCGCGCCCCGCGGGTTCCCAAGAGGCCTGTACGCGAGCCTCGAGTGTAGGGCGCGCCTAGGCCTCGTTGCCGCTGAAGCCTGCCTAACCGTCAAGACTACCGGCCGTGTAGCGGACAGGGCCCGGCTGGAGTGGGAGTAACTACCCCGGCGCCGTCCGAGCTGAGGACACAGACTGAGAGACAGAGGAAGCCTAGCCGCCGACTGTCAGAGGATGACTCGGGCCTCCGCCGCGGGCGGCCACTCATGAAGCCAAGGATGGGCGCTACAAAAACACAAACGGGTTGGGAAAAGGACACGGAAGGGAAACCAGTAGAAAAGCCTGGTGTGGGGACGCCGTAATGAGCCTCAGGCTTGGCCCCTGGCCTTAGTTGGGCATAGGCCTTGCCCCACCCACTCCCTCCCTGGGGAGATGGGATGCGGGTGGACAAAGAACGTTAACAAATTTCTGCTTTTTCCTGAGACATTTAAAACCATATAAACTTTACAGGTGTCCGCATATTAACTAGGAGAGTTCAGGATGTATACATAGGGACAGGAAGGGGTGGAGTAAACCAGTCTTTCCCCCCAAAATTTCACCTATTAAATTCCCTTGGTTACACAAAACATTTGAGAAATACGTGGGAGGAGCTAGCTAAGACTTAAAACTGAAGACTCCCTTCCACCTGTCTCCACATCTACGCAATCAGTTCCTTGTTACAGATCCAAGATACTTTATATATTTACACACATAAGCAAATGCATATATATCTTTCCCTTTTTAATTCAAACCGATGACACACACTGTCCTGCATCTGGCTTAACTGAGTGTACTTTGGAGATTGTTCCATTTCGGTACATAAAAACCTTCCTCATTCTTTATGATGACTGCTTAGTAATGATACAAATGTAGGATACAGTTGACCCCTGAACACAGGGGTTAGAAGTGCTGACCGCTGTGCAGTGGAAAATCTGCATATTAACTTCTTCTCCCCCAAAACTTAATTACTAAATACTAAATAGCCTGCTGTTGACTGGAAGTCTATAAACTGTCAACACATTTTGTATGTCAATATGTATTATATCCTGTATTCTTACAATAAAGTAAGCTAGAGAAAGGAAAATGGCAAAAAAATCACAAGGAGGAGAAAATACATTGACAGTATTGTAACAAAAAAATCCATATATAAGCAGACCCACACAGTTAAAACCCATGTTGTTCAAGGGTCAACTGTAATTATCTTGTTCTTAATGGATATTTAGGTGGTTTCCAGTCTTTTGCAAGTATAAACAATGCTGCTATAAATCATCTTACCTCAAACATCTGCAACTATATAGGTAGGTAGCATAAATTCCTAGAGGCAGAATTGCTGGACCAAAGTTTTGATGCATTTGTAATTTTGATTGACAGGCAATCTTTCAACTGCTCTGTTCCCTGCCTCTAATCTCTACCAGTTACCTTTCTAAAACAAGGAGCTGACCTTGTCGATCCTCTGCTTAGTTTTAATGATTAATATGCTCAATACATAAAAAACCCATGAGTTGATAATCCTTTTTTAAAAAAAAAGAGAAAGCCGACTAATCCATAACTACTCATTGTATGCCACTGGAAGTAAATAGTGATCAATTCCTGGAAACTAGCAAATAAAAGGAAAGAAACATTTATCCTTTCTTTCCAGTATGAACTCCAATTCAGAATAAACAGTGAGAAGGAATTCTTTTTAGAAGATTATGAGCTAGTAAATATGGAAAGAATCATAGAATTAGGGGGAAAAATCATTTTGCATCCCCTAATGAATTCAGGCAATAACCACCAGTGGTTATAAAACCACTAAATGAAAATTTGTTGAGAAACTTAAAAATTTTGAACTTTAAAACTGGACCCACTCATCACTGAACATGGGACAACCAGCTATTATTTGCCTCCTGATGTGAGGCGATATGAAACGCAGCACCACTTACTAAGTATTCTTGCCCAAGAAGTTGAATGGAAATGGGTTAGAGGAAGGAGTTAAATGATACCACATGGAAGCCAACAGTCAAATCCAGAGTGGGGAACATTTTATGATAACTTGATTTCTGGAACAGGTCAGTCCTGAGAAAAGAAGGGAGGTTGAGGAGACTGCTTCTGATAAATTGAAGACCTACTAACCAAATGTAATGTACAGATTTGCTTGGGTCCTGATTCAAACAAACCAACTGCAAAAAAGCCAGTTTTTGAGATAATCAAGGAAATTTGATTACAGACTGAACAATACTAAGAATTTAATAGGTGTAACAATAACACGGTAAACGTCTATTTTTTAGAGACACATACTGAGGTTTGTAGGAGTGAAATGATTCAGTATCTGGGATTTCCTCTAAAGTAACTTCAGCAAGGTATAAGAAAAAGAAAGCAAATGTGGTCAATCTTGATAATTATTGTATCTGGGATGGGGATTCTTAGGATAGTTCACTCTACTTCTGTTTGCAATTTTTCAATAAAACAAACACACACGTACACACAAAACAGATGACTATCCCATTTTTTTAGGCCAACCACAATGGTTAAGACTCACAATCTGGCCCCAGCCCAACCTACCTTTCCTTCTTTATCACTCACTCTCCACCTAAGTCTCAGGTCTAGCCTCACCACACCACTTGACACTTTGGACTGGCCACTCTGTTTTTGCATTCAAGCTATTCCCACTGCAGATCCGCCTTCCCATCCTTTTCCAACTGGGAAACTCCCTACCCTCATAGGTCGCATGCTCCCTGTGAAGTCTTCTCCGACCTTACTAGGTTTCCTGGCATCATCTGTGGTTGCCTCCTAGGAACTCTGTTCATACGACCAGTGGAACTTCTTTCATACTGCAGATACTGTCTACTTTCACCATGATGAGTGTTCCTCAATGGCAGATGGCATAAAAGTTAGGGGCACAGTCTCTCAATCCAGAATGCCTGAGGGATCACAAGCTGCTTTTGTTACTGTATTACCCTGGACAACTCAGTCTCTCTGTGCCTTAGCTGAGTTGCCTTGGCAAGTAACTTAACCTCTGTGTCTCAGTTTTCCTATTCATAAAATTTCCTTTTTTAGAGCTATCTTAACCTTCCTAAACAGATCAGAAAGGGATTATAGCAGTTTCGGACACATAATAAGTACTCAACATCTAAAAATACTACTTACTGATATGAAATAATTTAACATACCAATATATTAGATTAACAATCCTAAAACACTAAAGATATTTCTCTGATTTGTCCCTATATTCCTCCTCATATCTAACTCAGTGTCTGTAACCTAAATGATGGCGATACTAAAAGAGATACAAAGGCAGCAGAGTTGCTGAATGCAGGGAGTATGTCATTTATTGACCCTGGGTTCCCCCACTCACTGGTCGCTACTCTTGACTCGTAGAACAACAGGTACAGAACTGCAAGGAATCATCCCCAGCTCCGTGATCACCAGATCCACCAGTTCCGGGGGGGTCACGTCATAGACTAGATTCAACAACCGTAGGGACAGGTGGTTCTGCCAGTTAGCCAGGGCCACCTGTTCTCCTCGCTCACACAGCAGATCATCAGGGTCACCTGCAATGGGAGACATACCGATTTACGTCCGTTGAGAAAACAAGTTGTAGTTCAACCCTCCCTCCTCCCTTCCAAATCTCAGATCTTTGGAACTTTCTCTTCTGCCCTCCTGGGCTCCTTACCTAGCTCATTAGAGACAAAGGCATCAGTCTGCACACGCTCACAGAACTTGTACGTTTCACAGCAGACCAGCACTGGCACATTATGCACCCGTGCCACCAGGGCCAGCTGCGCTGTCCCTACCCGGGACATCACGGACCCGTTGGCCAGGAGTGCATGAGCTCCCAATAGCACCTTAGAAACCTATTTGTTTTGAACAGTGGAGAGGGGGAGAAAACGTGGCATGTGATTAATGCACCAAAAGGTTCCCCACTCCTGCTCAGGACAGCAGTATTAAGACAATAATAGAACTTAATGATGGCTCTTCTTGGAAAACACCTGACCATTGACCCACTGCACCTCCCACAAGAAAATGAAACTCCGAAGTTATTTTTGTCCCGTTTCCTCTTGGTGGCTGCTAGTTTACTGTCCTTACAATAACAACAATGCTAGAACATGCTGTAGGTGTTTTTCCTATTAAATATAAACAAGGATATAAAATTCTAGTATTCTTAAATAATCATAACCTTGGGAAGATAGGATTATGTCTACACCACTACACCCTTTTACCTCCAACTCTGGAGTCCCTCTCCTCTGCCCTCACCTCTGGGAGCACATAGGAGGCTGCAGGAATCAGCAGGTAGGACGCAGGGACCCCAGCACGGACCAGAGAACGTAGTGTGTGCCTTCCCTCCAGCCGTGGCCGACTGTCCACCACTACCACCCGAAACCGCCGGTCCTTAGCCCAAGCCTCCTGAAGAATTCGTGACACCAGAGATGAGCTGTAGTGAATGGAGAGGACGATTCAGTTATAGATGTCACTAACTGATAGCCAGACAGCTCATTACTAAAGAGCAAAAGGGCAGTCCCTTCTTCAGATTGTTTCACCCCCTAATTTTCTCAGTCACAGGGTCTGGAACATACCATCCATATACCAGGATCACATCCCCATTATTGATCTTCTTACACGCAAAGCGGGAAATTGCCCGAGCTGCGAGCACAATCTTCTCTTGCACATACCGATCAATGGCTGTTCGAAGTTCTGATTTGGCCTAAATGGAATAAAATGCTTAGGGAACAAGAAATGGACACATTTCTTCCTCTGATCTTCCTCTGATCATCATACCAGGTGCCTGAGCATGCGTACAATGATGGGCTCAAAGGGGGCTTAATGGGGGCCCAAAGGTGGCACAAGTCAGACAGCCCAACCACGTGCTTAACCCTGGACCAGGGCGGAATGGCCTCACTGTCCCTTCTGGGAGTCCGGGACGTGTCTCTCGGCTGTACCCTGAGGT